GAAGTAGTAGTGACAATGCTAAGGTAAAAATGGCATACCGCATGTGGGAATTATACGAATTACCGTCTCTTCGTAGAACAGCTACAGATATATGGGCTGTGAAAACCACAAATAGCCTTGAAAGACCTCGATACATAATTATCGGTTTTCAAAATACTGAGAATTCCGATGATATATCGAAGGATGTAACAAAATTCACACATGCCAACATCAATAATATCCGCCTATATTTGAATTCCGAAGTCTATCCATATGAACGCTGGAATCTGGATTTTGACAAAAAACTAGACTCAGCAGCCTATTACGCCTATGAAAATTTCCAGAGAAGCTACTACGATAAAGATATGGGTGAACCGATGATGAACATTGAAGAATTCAGAAAGAATCCTCTGTTTCTCATTGATTGCCGCCACCAACCAGATGCTCTGAAGTCATCAAACGTTGATATCAAGCTGGAGTTTGAGACTCGTAGAACACAATTTCCTGACAATACCAGAGTCTATGCGTTAATTCTTCATGATGCATATCTGACCTATAGCGCTTTGGATGGATCGATTCAAACAAGAGCTCCTTGAAATATATATCAATATATTGTATTTATTTACTTACTCTGTATTAATAAAAAATAATGTTATTTATCTTTTTTTTTTTCATACAAATATATTCATCTGAATAGGTTAATGATTGCATTCAAAGATATATAATTCGCTAAATATCTCCATCTATGACTTTATATACACCTTTTTTTTATCTCTTGGAGCACACGAAAGGAAATACCTAGGGAGGATAGGGAGAGGAGGTAGGTGTTAGAATCTGTTTTGAACTTTTGTAAGTTATAAGTTCTTGGAAATACTTTCATTTATGTCACACATCACTACATCAACCTCTTTTTCGCCACAATTTAATTTTCAACTACTTACTTGGAATGATAAAATAACATATGGTTATATCAAACATTTATTGAAAAAATTAACTACCTAATAGCGTTACAGTATAGACAGCATATAATTACATCAAAAGAGAGATATTAAATTACTATGTTTTGATATCCCCAGCTTCGTCTACACCACTGTCACCCTTGCCATCATCAGTATCATCTTCTTCCTCAGATTCTCGATATAGGTTATATTTGCCAATGATGCTGCCAGGAAGGAAATCGAATATTTCATACAAGAACCCTTTCAATTCAGCTTCCACCATATCTTGACAAAACGCATCTAAGCTCAAACTTCCATATCCAAACCGACGACACAATTCCAAGCCAATTCTATATTGATCAGCTAGATCGGAGAGTCTTCGAATCTCCACGGGATCAAAACACACGTTCATATCATAATTAGTAGCATGTATAGCATCCATTTCTAGATCTCTGAATTCACATGCTAACCTCCTTATTCCAGAATCGATGTCTTCTGCTTTATCCCATCCCTGGCTTGAATAGTGCATCCACATTGTGTTCGGGGGAGGCTTGAAAGTCTGGTATCTGAAACAAATATAAGACATTAACATACACATCTCATCTGACAGGTTGACTATATACTTACAATAATAATGATTATTACATTGAAAGAGATTACTAGTATGTGATATGTAAGTAACTATTTCTAAATATTTTTCATCCACCCTTCCGTATAACTATGCTTATTGATTATATCTAAGGTAAACGAGAAAAAAAGTCAAAGTCGTCTAAAGTATTAAGAAAATTATTATCGGCTATCGAATCTAATGAGAGATCTCGATTTCGCCCCTACAAATCCTGGTTTACTCTGGCCTGTGTATGTCAGACTATATCCCCCATTGGTTGAATTCATAACTTCAATATCACCTTCGCTCAAATTATCTGAGACACGTTTTGGAAGCCAACATTTGAAAGTAGCGCCGTCACGTTCATCGCATAATAATGTATAAACCCCTTTTCCGAATCTAGTTACGCAACAACATATTCTTTCAATTACGTAGGGATGGCCTACGATCAGAGTTGAAATCGATATTTGTTGGATGATATCAGCATCGCGGTTGATCATTTTATTGATGGAGTCTAAATCAATCGCACGTACTACAGACATATTTCTTCAAATAATCGTAAATTGCACAGCGAAAGGGAGGTATGATAAATATATAAAAATATTCCAACTTACACAACACACTTCACCTTCTCACGAGAAACTTGTTCAAAATTATTTCAATACTTGTATCTTCACCAAACGAGTCGCTTCTATTTTGTGTTTTCAAATCTAGGATTTACCTGGTTATATAGTATAGAAATGTGGTGGGGGAATATCAAAGGAAAGAAAAGATTCTATGACAGCGACCTTGAACAAGTATGTTCACACACACAGACTTTCAAGGCCACAACCAACGCCACATGCTCCAAGGATACAAATGATTGCTTTTATATTCATACATCAGCTTGTTGAGCCAGCTATTGTAAGCGGTTAATGTAATTTCAATCATAGACTTGACTTGCTATTCGAAAGAATGCCAAAAAAATGTTAAATGTAACTTACCTACAGCGGAAAGAGTGAGAATTCAATAGCGAGTCAAGAGTGTGAAGGTAGACAAAACTTTGCGTATAGTAAATAGCATATCCAAGCGTAATGATTGGAAAGTTAAAATTGTATGCATCGTCCTACGTAGGTACGTACTCGAGGACCGAAAAACGGTGCGGTGGATGCCATAAATATTCGTAAGTATAAGATACATTCCAGCATTCATCGAACCGAAAGAAACTTCTAACAAAGACGTCCTTGAACTGCAACTGGTATTTGAACATCGAAAGCGGTACCTACTACGGTGAATACCATGCGATTCCCGCTTCGTCGCACCCCCCCAAGACCACCCACGGTCCTGGTCGATACAAACGGCATAGCAGCTCTCTCCAGAGATCTTCGAAGGCCGTTTCGTCACACGCACAAGACCACCCACGTCCAAGGTCGTTACAAACGGCATAGCAGCTCTCTCCAGAGCCCTTCGAAGGCCGCGTCGTCACACGCACAAGACCACCCACGTCCAAGGTCGCTGACGTTCAAGGTTGCTGCACCTCTGAGGTGCACTCACATAACCCTCCTACTTACGACATGGAAATTTGGCCAGAGGTGACGTCAGATTTGCTACAGTGTAGAACTCTGGGTCGAAAAAGGGGTCTAACCTCAAATTTTATTCTGAACGCAAATTTTTTTTTATTACTGCCATTCGATAGTACACGTCGAGCTATCTCAGTGTTTGAAATATTTGCACTTATTTCAATGCCACCCTGTATATATATCCATTTTTTTGTGTTCATAATTATATCTGAAAATATTCCTTTTCAAGACTGAAGATGTGTTTAATGAACTGTGTTGCCATGGTAATGTGTAAGAAATTGTGTTGCCATGGTAACGTGTTTAATTTTTTGAATAAATCACAGATCGTCAAGCCGTAATATTGCAGCTTTGACGAAAATGTATACTAAACTTTTAGCTAATTTTTGATGGAGTAGTGTATTATACCTCGTCTACTAGGTTTTTTTTTTTCATGTTCTGGTTCCCACGAAAAGAGATATCTTGTAATGTTCAGAGAACATCGTGAAAACCCAGGGAAATAAGGTAGGAATTGGTGTTCTTCTTAAATTTCTGGAGGTTATATGCCTCGAAGAACACCTTCCTTGGCAATGTGTTCCAGAGCCTCGCTGTTCGTTGGATGAACGAGTCTTTGGAAAGATATGTTCTGCAGGTCTCCAAAGTGACCACGAAGGGGTGCGAAGCCTCAACTCGACGGGTTAATCTCGCGGGGACTGCCAAGGGAGGAACAATTGTTGATATTTCAGAAGAACATCGTCCATGGAAATATCTATAAATTAGAGCCAGATCGCCTACTTTTCAACGGTGTTCTAGAGAAGTGAGTGAGTTTGTGAGCGAGGCATCACCCACCATCACGAATTGCCCTTTTTTGGACAGAATCCAACAGTTTCAGGGTATGTTTGGGTGCTGTACTCCAAATATGGGAACAGTATTCCAGGACAGGTCGGATCTGTGCCTTATAGATCATAAGCAGCTGACTGGAAGTGAAATAGCTCTTGGCCCGAAACAGAAAACCAAGTTTTTGGGATGCACTTTTAGCAATAATTGATCTCACGTGATTTTCACAAGAAAGGTTATTGCTGATAGTAATAGCGAGCATCGAAATGGATGTCTTCAAAGGTATTGTTACTCCTGACAAACTTATGTTGGGCACAGTGAGATCAGCTTTTCTAGAGAAAAGGCATGCTTGTGTTTTGTTTGCATTGAAATCTACCAAGTTATTGGATCCCCACTCGAGAATGGGGAAGACCACTGAGGGAAGAAATCCGTGCAAGCCTCTTTCAATCGACGAATCATGATTTACATTTTATGTACAATCAATATCATGAGTTGAAGTTGAAGGGAATCGAATCTATATCGTTTTGAAATCAGCATATTTCATTCGATATTTCAAAAAGCCAAATATGTTGGTGGAGTCGTGACGTATTAGTCCCGAACTGTAGCTATCTCTCTCTGATACCTCGTCATTCTGCAGTGTTGCAGTGTAATTGGTGAGTTCAAGGACAATATGCGTGTTGGGACTAAGACGTCGCACCAGTCACACCAATGAATTGATGAAATTTCAAATGGCGCAGGAATTGTGTGTTTTGAAATGGACATATACCAATTTATTTTTTTCATCGTCTTAGCATGAATGAAAAAATTCAAAATTAATTCACTGGTAGTTTTTCAGTATAGAGTTCACGATAATGTCGTTTTAAAAAATCAGTGGTCTTCCCCATTGTTGCCAAGTCCATATTTATGTTGTCAACATTTCTTCCTCGTTCGTTTCTGATTTGCCTGGCTGGTATTGGAGCCCTGGAAGAGAAGGCGGTATGGAGGGTACTATCATCCGCGAAGCGACTTAATGGTTTAACAAAGAAAACATTTTCATAAAAGGGTTTATTCATCAAAATAATTAATATTCAATCAAACTATATTATCGAAACAAACAAAACTTTTCACTGCCTAGATGAGAAAAAAACAAACACAAATAAAATATCCGTAAAAACACTAGCATTTTTGCTAATGCGGTACATTATTCGTTGTATTTTTGGAAGTGTTATGAACTCTAAAGCGATAAACGCAAGTAAATTCGCTGTTGCCATAGTTATTAATGATATGAAGTTCGACATACTCGAAAGGTATGTGCGTCAAACCGTCATTTATTTGATAAGTTTGATACGGCCGACCATCCAACTTGTACTCGAATTTGCCTAGAAGTACTCCGGGTTCGTCGTCTGGATCGTGAAGTCCCTAAAAATGAGTGAAAAATATCATTCTTCTAGATTTTACATGAATGTAATATGACACTTTTCAAAACAGACGGAAGTTTTGAAACGTCCCAGCAAACAATTTTGGTCGGCCTCATGCTGGCCCATGATATGCTGTCCAGAATTGTCCAGAATGGCTAAAATTCTTGTGAACATTGATGGGCCAGCACCAATGGGAGCTCGACCATGGCCGTCAGCTGTCACAGTTGTTTTATATTAGGGATACATAAACAATATACATAATGTTGAAAAGGAATATTCTCAGATAAATTATGGACATACAAAAATGGATATATATATTTGTATGAAGCAATACATTGAGAATTCGCATTCTCTATATGATGACAAAATCTACTCTTCTTCAGTTTATTCAATAGAAAACAACTACTTTCCTGGCTATATGCCACGGCGAACATTGAATTATATCTATTGAACACACACGATAAGAGTTTGAAAATAAAATATAAAAACTTCTGAAATTGAGAATTTGCTTTCTCCTTCAGACAATAGTAGATTGTTTTATTAAGATCAAGAGTGATACTTTGCTTGACAAGCGAATTTTGCATTTGCGAGGCGGAGCGTTTAGAGCGAAGCCGAGCGAAAGCAAAATTAGCGAGTCGAACAAAGTCACTTTTGATCCGAATGAGACATGCTATTTTTTCTGCAACCGAAACAATTAACTCAAATAAACATGTGAAGTAACCACCAATGTCGTGCCATATGTATGCAATGCAACTAATATTGACAAATAATCCATGTGGTGAGAATATTCTACCTACATTAACAGCAGGTTAGGTTTTCTAGGATGTTCGAATTGTAGTTTCAATATAAATACAACCACAGAGTGACATATTTGTGTATGGAGCAGGTGCTCTAATGTCAAATACCGCGCCAGTGCCAGCTATAGGAACAAGAAGTGGAAAATGTTAGGTTAGTGAGCATATCAACAATGATAATAGTGATTATTTATTCCTCTCCATACTACACTGTGTTTGACTCGATAATCAAATGAAGCTAAATAATATCGTTGTTTGAGACAAAAAAACTATTGCTCACCGTGATTATTCAAAAACAAGTTATCCATCCTGAGAATAACGAATGAAAAAGAGATCAAGCAAGTATTTGAATCTTGAAGGCTTCCCTGATCAAAACAAAAATACTCAACTGAGATGTTTATAATTCCAATACTAAACTATAATAAGGTGTATTTATATCTCCAGCATGGGTATGAAATGCCAAATCTGCTGAAATCAGGAACAAATCAGGTATGCGTCTCAACCCAAATAACCAACCGTCACAATGTTGTTTATTCTTGATGACGTCCAGTAGATCCTTTTTAGTTCCTAGGAGCTTAAGTGCAAATTTAGCTCCTAGGAACTAAAATTCAACTTTAGCTCCTAGGAACTAAATATATTGCCTAGCAACATACCTATTTTTGTGTCAGTAATAGAAACGTCAATTTAAGAGCTGATTTTGGTATAAAAATGGACGCCTTTTGTGTCGGTTGCAGAAAAAAATATGTATATGCACACATCATTCTGAATATTCAACAGAAAACAACTACATCACATAGAGAATACGAATTATCAATGTATTGCTTCATATAAATATATATCCATTTTTGTATGTCCATAATTTATCTGAGAATATTCCTTTTCAACGTTTTTATACCCAATCAGGGGGTTCAAACTTGAACGATGGAAACTTGTGATTTTTATAGACCTCTAATCGCAGATTCGTGATAGAGTCTCAATTCAGAATTTCTTTTCACGCCCTGTATGATGAATGTCAATTTATCATACACCCAAAAGCAATATACATAATATTATACATATGATTATGAAACAATGATAATAAGATATAACAATTAAAAAAGTGCGAATAATCATGCAATATCAACCTTATCTATTATAAGTAGCTATTCGAATGAGGAATGGAATTATCAAAATCTCTAAAGCAGATATTGATTAATAAAAAAAAGAAGACCGCCACGGGATTCGAACCTAGGTCCTCTGCTATCACTTGGTTAAAAATCGAACTTGTTCGAACTGAGCTACTACACCTTTCTGGACTTCTCGTAAGGTCGAAGGCCAGTTGGTATGTAGGTACACATACCAACGAAGTTAATTTCTGTTTTTTCATTATATATTTTAATAGATGTACTAAAACAAATTAAACATTCTCATTGACACTTTGTCTGTTCTACAAGATGGTATTATCAGATTTTCTAATGACGTTTCGTATTTGAGCTGCCTTTCTCAACTTTGATTTTCAAAATACGGCCTTAATTATTAATTGATTATCAATAGTTATCGATATATCGACATTTTCGAAATTATACAGTGTGTCCCACTTACCATGCTCACCATGGGTATCTTTTTAACGGTGAGAGATACGAGGTCGGTTAAATGACACCAAATGTGGAGTTTGTCAAGGCCAACTATAATGTGAAAAAATATTTTGATAAAATCTATTCATTTTTGTTTAATACGCAAAAATCAGATTTTGATCTTTTTCATGTCTCCTCCGTAACTTCTTTATTTATGAAAATATTCAAATAGGCATTCCACATTCTCATGGCAGTTTTTCGAAGTGATTTCGAAAAAAATATGAAATTTGAATCAACTCTTCTAGAATTCGAGATATCAGCACCAACTTTAGTTTTTCAAATGTAGGTCATAGTTACAAATAACTTTTTTTCTCTTACAAATGAAATGTCGCAGTAATAGTTTTGTGTTGATAACAACGGAGTTATCGTCATTCATACAAAAACAGAAACTTATTTGGAAGCCGCCATCTTGAATTTATAAATTTTCACAAAAAAATCATGATCTCCGACCTCAAAAACCCCCACCTACCAATTTTGAATGGAATCGGACCAAATCTTGTCCGCCATCTTGGAGCAGCCATTTTTTTATATCTAACAAAAATTTCATAATGTATTGTCACCGAAATTATGAACACCAGCCAAATTTCAAGTTAATCGGAGTTATGGAATTTTTGTTGAAATTAAAAAAAATTGCTGCTCAAAGATGGCGGACAAGATTTGGTCCGATTCCATTCAAAATTGGTAAGTGGGGGTTTTTGAGGTCGGAGATCATGATTTTTTTTGTTAAAATTTATAAATTCAAGATGGCGGCTTCCAAATAATTTTTTTGTAACTATTACTGCGACATATCGTCTGTGAGAGAAAAAAAGTTATTTGTAACTAAGTCATAGTGAGCTATGACCTACATTTGAAAAACTGAAGTTGGTGCTGATATCTCAAATTCTAGAAGAGTTGGTATAAATTTCATATTTTTTTCGAAATCACTTTGAAAAACTGCCATGAGGATGTGAAATTCCTAATTTAATATTTTCATGAATAAAGAAGTTACGGAGGAGACATGAAAATGATCAAAATCTGTTTTTTGCGTATAAAACAAAAACGAATAGATTTCATCTAAATATTTTTTCACATTATAGGCCTTGACAAACTCCACATTTGGTGTCATTTAACCGACCTCGTATCTTTCACCCATGGTGAGCATGGTAAGTGGGACACACTGTATATCGTTATATTTTTGCCCAGGCCTAAACACGAATACTTAAAAAATTCGTGTTCTCGAGAAAATTTCCAGTAATAATTGAAGCTCGATCTAGTGGTATTATTAGTGAAACACCACTCACAAACACTTCAAACTCCCTCGGCGCGCTGCGATCGTCATCCAAAAACTTCACGTGATCCAACGTGACCGCCCTGATCCTGATCCTCTTGCCCAGCCTGATCCTGATCCGCCCGTCCGAACCGTGGAAAGCGAAACAGTTGCCGGGCAGGTTTCCAGGTTGCAAAACGGAATCCGGGTTGGACATGACGTCGATCGAGAGGAATTTGAAAAAGTTGATGGTTTTGTTGGCTGGATATGGGACGGTGCAGGGAGTGGAGACGATAGAGGCGCTAGCGTACACCGAAGCATAATCTGTCAAAAGAACGGATAAACTCGAATTTTATTCTCTCTCTCCTGTTTAAGGAGCCATTTTGCTATCAACACTGATAATTTTGAAAACGTAGAAACTTCACAAACGATAAGATTTCCACAAAATTCTCAAACACACGACATGTTTCGTTAACACAGAAGCTTCGTCAGGTGATATTGTCAAGAAGTACAAATGCCTATGAACTAACATCACTCAAACTCTCGTTTATTTCAAGATCGATCTTTAACATTAATTAACATTTCCAAATTAAAACATTGAGTACATTGTAGTTTGTAGTTTCGATCAGGTCAGCGGAATTAATATACCTACGTCATTTCCTTTATAATTTGCAAAGAAACCGCTTACCTACCCCGCGATAATACCAAGGTAAGTAGTATCGAAAGGTAACGACCGTTCTCATTTGCGGAAAATTGCGAATCTAGCATCGATTTCAAATACACTGTGTCCATAAAGTCACCCCCCCCCTGGTTAACTATTGAACGGATGGGATTTTTTTTTTCAATTTTTTTTTGCTTCAATAGTAGTTTCAGTGCTTATATTGTTCCAAAAAAAAAATATGTATCCTCCAAAATGGCGCCTGGGCGCCATTTTGGATTATTTTTTTAAATGGAGTGGGGGGTCGAAAGTTACCTCGATTGAAAGGTCTTTCGATTCTCTATACAACCTCAGAATCTCAGACGAAAATATTCATCCAAATCAAAATGGCGGATGATAACGCTTGAAATCTCACACCAGAATTCTTTCGACTAGATGGCTATTGAAGTGCTCGCATGTGATCTTCAAATCTCTATTGGCGTAAAGAAGAGTTCTCTATCCATGAAGATATCAATAGGAAGCCATTTTGAAGAGAATAACATGATAGTCAATTATACCTTTGCTTGATTGTCTTTCCAAATTCTGCAAAATTTTAGAAATATTTATTCAAAATAAAGAACAATGTTTATTCCACGATACTACCATGGTATTCTCTTCAAAATGGCTTTCTATTGATATCTTCATAGATAGAGAACTCTTCTATACGCCAATAAAGATTTGAAGATCACATGCGAGCACTTTAATAGCCATCCAGTAGAAATAATTCTGGTGTGAGATTTCAAACGTTATCATCCGCCATTTTGTTTTGGATGAATATTTTTGTCTGAGATTCTGAGGTTGTATAGAGAATCGAAAGACCTTTCAATCGAGGTATCTTTCGACCCCCCACTCCATTTAAAAAAATCTTCCAAAATGGCGCCCAGGCGCCATTTTGGAGGATACATATTTTTTTTTGGAACAATATATAGCACTGAAACTACCATTGAAGCAAAAAAAAAATTGAAAAAAAAAATCCCATCCGTTCAATAGTTAACCAGGGGGGGGGTGACTTTATGGACACAGTGTATAAATAGAACCTGAATCGATAAGGATGGTCATTATTAGTTCTATCGTAATTCATTTTCAACACAAGGCATTAGAATAGAATAGAATATTTATTTAATAAATCATTATAATGACATAGGCCGTGTCAAAAATACAAAAATACAAAATTTCAACATATCACAATACAGAATGAAGATATAAAGATAATAGTGTAACTATACAGGGTGTCCCTAGACCAGTGGGACAGTGGAATATCTCCTGAACCAATAGGAATTTTCGAAATATTATAATTCCACATCATATCGCATTATGAGTGCTAACTTCAGGAATGACTATATTTTCTACGAGGGGCGCAAGAAAGGCTCACAAAATCGAACATCAATTTTTCAAATGGAACACCCTGTATTTCATTGCATTTTCATAATCTCCTTGAAGAGCTGAATTCAACGACCTAGCACACTTGGGCTCAAGCGGGAATGATTTCCGAGATATAGGGTGTGGAAAATCGAAATTTTTCATTTTTGTGAATTTTTTGTGTCAAAACTATTCATTATTGGTCAAAACGGCTTACATGTCCATATCTTAACTTTTGATTTACTATTTACTCGTATTTAATTGAAACAAATACAGGGTGGTGTGGAATTCCGACTGAAACTGATAAAACTATATCTCGGAAATCATTCCCGCTAGACCCCAAGTGTGCTAGGTCGTTGAATTCAGCTCTTCAAGGAAAATATGAAAATGCAATAAAATACAGGGTGTTCCATTTGAAAAAATTGATGTTCGATTTTGTGAGCCTTTCTTGCGCCCCTCGTATAAAATATAGTCATTCCTGAAGTTAGCACTCATAATGCGATATGATATGGAATTATAATATTTCGAAAATTCCTATTGGTTCAGAAGATATTTAACTGTCCCACTGGTCTAGGGACACCCTGTATACTAACACACCTAAAGACGTTATATAAATATACATACATGAGAAAATAACATCGTACAATAATCATAATATGTATAAAATCAGTGGTTCACGCGTAATATAGTTTCACTATGATTGAGAAATTTTTCCACTGAATAGAATCCTTCAGTGCACACGAAGTATTTTACTTTCCGTTTGAAGGAGATTAAGCCAAAAATTGTCTTCAACTCAATGGGTAGGCAATTGAAGAGCTTATGAATTGGCGATCTTTCGTATAGTTTAGTCTTGTGTTGCCTTAATCTGAGTAAATTTCCGTTTCTCGTAGGATATCTATGTGATTGAGCTTTGGTTTCTAACAGAGATTCATTTTTCTTTATGTAAGAGAACAGGCTGTAAATGTAAATAATAGGAACATAATGTAAGTACCAAGAACCATCCCTAACAACACGAGTACGTCCCAGGGACGTCCTTCATTTCCTACGAGGACGTGCCTGGGATATCCTGTGTCGGGACATGGTACATACTAGGGACGTCCCAGGGACATCCGCTTTCCACAAAAAGAGGCATCCTAGGGATGTCCTTCTGGTACGTCCCTGGGATGTACCAAGTACGAAGGACGTCCCAAGGATATCCCAGAAAAAAAATGTAGGTCGTGTACGGATTGAACACGGGACCTTTGCGGCTTATCAGGCACGCATCTTACTCCATTGGCTATTGAGCCTCCTGAAGATTTATTTACTAAACAAACCTGAATAAATACAACTTTGTTAGGATTTGGGTATAATTATTATATCATTCTTGGGTGTTTAAAAATGAGGGGCATTATGCATGTACGATTTCTGTTTCCGAAAAATGGTAATTCCTTAAAAAGTTCTGAAACTTTATTCTTTATTTTCATTACTATTATTTTCCGGAAGAAAAACAAACATTTTCAAAAAATGCAACCTAATATACTTTGATGAAATTCAATGACTCTGATGTGAATGGATATCAGATATTCCAGGGACACGAATAGGATAACCTAGGGATGTACCGGGCGGGATGTCCACTGGACAACCACTGCGCGACATCCCCTGATAGATGCCCCAATCATGTCCTTGTACCGCGGGACTAAAAAGGGACGTACCTAGGACATCCCTGTGTTGTTTTAGGGATCATCTTGTTTCTATTGTTTTCGCGTTTCCTGTGTGTTCTTTCCTGTTTCGCCTTTTTGGCACATTTTTATGTTTTCATGATTGAATAAATTGCTTGTTGTACTTTTTGAAAAACAATTCTCTTCATTTTGGATCAAAACCTCTCGTCAAAAAGCCATATAACCTACTAGAATCATCTAAGTTTCGACTATATACTGGTACGATGAACTAAACTAACCTTGGCTTGCTTATACAGGGTGTTCCTTAATGATATGCTAATATTCAAGGGGCCGATTAGTCGACCCATTTCAAGAATTGAACTCCATATAAACGTAAAAACGTCCTAACTTTTGAGATACAGGGTGTCAATGTTGAAAATATATGCATAGATTATTTTTTTGTCCACCCTGTATAGCTTTTCGTGATGGCAAAATTCAGTCTGCTATGTGACTGAATCGGCATACAAATTTCAAAATGTTACATACGGTGGTTATCTAGTAATGGATGTCCTGAATGGAGTAGGTACTCAAACATCTAAACTTGAAGTCTGATCTCGTTTTTCCGTTTTTTTCGAAAACGAAGCGTTCTATCGAGTATCAACAAGAGGATCTTTTTTGTACATAATTAAATAGCCTTTTATTGCATTGTATGAAATTTGGACATTTTTCGTCGTCGCTCACTTTTAAGTGAAATATAAACAATAATTTTCCCGTAACGGTGCCACTGGTAGAGAACATGAAGATTTTTGTACATCAAAAAAAGCACCTTGATACATAAAAGACGTGTACCAAAGTGCAAGAAGATGTATACAATATTGTCTTAGTTATCATCAAAAAACTGAATATTTTTCAAAACTTCATCACCCTGTATCTCAGAAGTTAAGACTTAGGACATACGTTCATATGAATTTTTCTTCTTAAAATGAGTCAGAGAATCACCCCCTCAAATATAAGCATGTCTTTAAGGAACACCCTGTATATCAAACTTTCCCAACCTGAAGGATTAGTTACGTACCTGTGGACAGTTTCGATAAACCTCCATTTTCGAAAATTAGGCACAATATCTACATTAAAATACGATGTAAAGGATTAACTTGAAAGGGTTGATAGCGAATTCATATTATTACCTACTAAGAAAACAAATTCAACAGTAGTGAACTATTGAGGTCTAATTGATCGTTACGTAAAATGTCAGAATTATGACTTTATTGATTTCTAATGATTCAGAATGATTGAGTTTCATTCCTTCATTTTCTACGTGTAGAATTTCGAAATTATCATCAAAACTATGGTTTTCTTCAAATATATGGTTGGCGTATGTTGAATTTTCTTTTCCAAAAAATTCATCTTATGTTCATGAATGCGCTGATTAAACGTACGACCTGTCTGACCAATATATACCTTAGGACAAGATCCACAGTTGAGTTTGTATACCCCTGATTTTTCGAATTTAGAAGTTTTGTCTTTATTATTTTTAATAAACCTGCCCAACGTGTTATTTGTTCTACAGTGAGGACCAAAAGTCCGTCGCCCCCCCTGTAACTTCTTTATTCTACATATTACAAAAAAATGTTGAATACATAAGTTGTAGGGTTTCATTCGATCTCTTCAATGGTTTAAGTTTCATTCATACAGAGATGTACAGAGTGTCTCTAAAAAGCACGGTGACTTAGAAGTTAATTTTTTTAAATGGATATTAAACTCCCCTAAAAATTATTTTATTTCTTTAATTAACATTGAATAATATCATTAGATAAATTTCAATAATAATTGTGAATAAGTATGTATGAATATAAATAATTATGCGTATTGAATGAAATGCTCAGTACACTATATATTATGAATTGAATACTTGTCTCATTTCTTAATGAGACAATTTTCCCTTGTGATAATTTGATATTGTTAAATATTTATTGACCTATGTACATTTATTTATTTTTATTTTTATCCTTACTACAAGGTTAACTTCGTAAGGTTTTTCCCAGTTTATTCAAATTACCTAAATGTTTATTCCAATGTATATTTTGTAAACGTTTTTTAATAAACTTATATTATTATTATTATTATTACCCTGTATTTCATTGCATTATTACATTCTACGTTGAATTCTGAACAAGTTTGATAAATGGTTTTCTATCAAAAAAGTTAATAGTTCTGGACTTATGAACACTTGTAAATAATTATTTCGACTACTTTTGCGCCAGTTCAAAACAAATGGTGCAAAAGTAGTCGAAATAATTATTTACAAGTGTTCATAAGTCCAAAACTATTAACTTTTTTGATGAAAAACCATTCATCAAACTTGTTCAGAATTCAACGTAGAATGTAATGATGCAATGAAATACAGGGTGTCCCATTTAAAAAAATTAACTTCTAAGTCACCGTGCTTTTTAGAGATACTCTGTATGGATGAAACTTAAACCATTAAAGAGATCGAATGAAACCCTACAACTTATATGTATTTAACATTTTTTTGTAATATGTAGAATGAAGAAGTTACAGAGGGGGGGGGGGCGATGGACTTTTGGTCCTCACTGTATATGTTCATGTAGTAAAGAAGCTAATTTTTCAGTTGAGGATCCGAAATAGGTTAAAGTTTTATAATTTATAATTAATCTTGAAGGTGGGACAAAGTTCTTTAATAGCTTTATTAGGAAGTTTTTCAGAAATAATACTGTTTATCAAATTAACGTTGTATCCGTTGTTGACTGCAATCTGTTTTATGATATCGAGTTCTTTATTGACATTTACCTCTGAAAGAGGAACATTAACTAGCCTGTGGATCATACTATTATAAGCTGCAATTTTATGTTGATAAGAGTGTGTTGAATTATTATGAATAGTGATATCAGTATCAGTAAGGAAAGTTGAAAAATCATGTTTATCATTAATTTCACTTATTGTCAAATCTAAGAAATTGATTGAATTTTCTGTTTCTATTTCTATTATGAAACTGTTGGATTCTGTCCAAAAAAGGGCAATTCGTCTCGTGGGTGATGCCTCGCTCACAAACTCACTCACTTCTCTGGAACACCGTAGAGAAGGTGGCGATCTGACTGATTTTATAGATATTTTCATGGACGATGCTATTCTAAAATATCAACAATTGTTCCTCCTTTGGCAATCCCCGCGAGATTAACCCGTCGAGTTGAGGCTTCGCACTTCTTCGTAGTCACTTTGGAGACCTGCAGAACATCTCTTTCCAAAGACTCGTTCATTCAACGAACACCGAGGCTCTAGAACACATTGCCAAGGGAGGTGTTCCCCGAGGCATATAACCTCCAGAAATTTAGGAAGAACACCAATTCCTACCTTATTTCCTTGGTTCTCACGATGTTCTCTGAACATTACAGGATATCCCTTTTCGTGGGAACCATGCGGGACATAAAATAACGTATATGCTCATTTATCTCAAAAATGTTTCGTTTCTCGAAAAAAATTGGAGAGCAAAAAGGCCTCTAAATTGAACGATCCACACAATTTGATCACTGAAAGATGCCGGAGGCGTACTACGAAAAAGTTTGGGGGGGATGAAGAAGCCCCCACCCCGAAAAAGGTATCACCCTGTAAACTTGAAAATTACTTGAGAAGATGATCTAGGAAGTATCGACCACACTAAATTCCAAAATAATATATTGAAAACTAAGCGAGATATATTTCAATAGAAAAAATAATTAAACTTTGACTCCCTGATGTAGCTCCGCTACTGAATGAGATCGGACTAATGTTTATATTAGCTTTTTTGATTGAAATAATGAAATCTATCTGCCATTTCAGTTTGTGCCTCAAAACCTAAATCACCCTGTATACTTATAACACTCAAAATGTTGACAGTAAATTCTTTTGAATTCTAGAGTTGACAGTAAATTACCTCAAACACTTAGGTGGTTATTCACACTTTAATATTGTGGAAGGTTCGGATTCCAGTATGAGCTGTAGGTCCCGTTCTTTCTAACCCTGCACAACTTTCGATTTTTGGGGAGTTGCTCCCCAACTTCAAAAGTAGCGATATACAAATTTCACCAACTTTTTTTTTACAAATTCACATTCAACACACGGCACTGTTCGCTGGCTTATACAGGGTGGAGTAACATTATGGACTACAGATTTTCCTTACCGAATAAACCAGTTCTATCTGCGTCGTAGACATCCAAAGCTTGCTCAACTTTCTTGTCGAAAATGGATTCTTGTTGGAAGTAGATTTTCGTGAAAAGCTCATCGAGATGCTTCCTATTTGATCAAACAATAAAAGAAGAATTGCAGTAACACGAAAATGAAGGTGCATTTGGAAAACAAGTGATATAAGTACTATACAGGGTGTTTCATAATTGGATGTCAATATTCGAGGAGGCGATTCTTGGGCCCATTCCAAGAAGAAAGTTTCATATGAACGTATGACCTAAACGTCCTAACTTTTGAGATACAGGATGGTGAAGTTCTCAAAAATTAATATAGCCTACTACAATGAGAAGTTATAATTCCAAAATACCAAATACGAATACGAAGTTCATAAACTTAGAATTGTATTTCTGAAATTTGATCTAAAGAATAAAATCTATTTCTCTGTATTGTGATATTGTCATAATAACGTTATTGCTAATCATGTAGTGAAAAGCTTTTTATTTGTTTAAGCGAAAACCGTGCATCAGATTGGAAAAATTTATAGTGATCAAATTTGCTTAGAAATGATTGGAAATTTCAGGAATGATTTCAATTTCGAGATTAATCAGTGGCGTAGCATCAATATCTGCCAAAATAGGTATGTGAAATTCCATACGAACGCCACTGATGGCAACAAAAAAAAATGTGGTACACTAACTGATGCCTCTTGATACATAGTACATGTATGCCAAATTTGATTAGAATATCTGAAGTGGTATTACAGTTATTATTGAAGAACTATACATTTTTGAGAACTTTACCACCCTGTATCTCAAAAGTTAGGACGTTTCGATCAGTACAGCGCTGAAACACCCTGTATTTTGCGAATTTGTGATGTCTTCTATTAAAAATCAATTCGCCTTTTATAATTTTGAAGATACCTACTAGGAAATCATATTGCAAGTGGATTTACCCCGGAAAACCTTGTATTTCAAATTGCAAATCACTGAAGTTGTATAAAGCATGATACAAATAATACAAACATTTCGAAAAAAAAACAATATAAAAATGTCCAACCTCCATATTTGCGTTTTTTCCATGTTTTCCTTCAGCAAATTCATTTCATCTATGATCTTTTGAAGGTTCAACTCTTGCGTCATGTTAGTTGGTAACCTGTCGTCACTTTCAGTTCTGAATAGATTTTTTCCATAATAATGCTCGTAATCTGAAAAAACAAGAAGTACTAAGTAAATAGTTACTTCCACCTCTTTCGACCTTTTAATAGTATATTATGTAACAAGTGTTATAAACGTCCTTTTAGTAACGAGTAGTTTAAGCTCGAGCGGAGCTGAGCGGAGCGAGTGTTTAATAAACGAGTGTCTAGAAGAGTTTATAAACGCGTTACATACTATGATTTTTCTAACTCCGAAAATTACATTAACTTACCTGCAATTCCTGCTAACCTACAAAATAATTCGAAAGGAATGGGAATTGAGAACATAATACATGCAACCAGCGAGACACGTATAAGTGATATTGGTTGTAGATGTGTCCAGTCCATTGCTTACTAACCTTTGTTTCACGTTTATTGTCATGCTTAGGGCAGAATAATTAAATTGTTCTCAAAGATGGATGCTTCATTTTGACACTTCTTGGAGATATGCAAGTACCAGAACATTCTCTTCGATTTCACTTTCGTCAACTTTTCGCATTTATTTTCTATGAAGAATTCTGATACAAACGAATATATTGTTTGAATAATTCTGATACAAAATTTGAAAATAACAGTTGTCAGTTAATTCAATTGACAGGCCAGACATGTCTCAAATTACTGAAGCTGTGTTTAATGAACTGCGTTGCCATGGTAATGTGTTTAAGAAAGCGTGTTGCCATGGTAACGTGTTTAATATTTTGAATAAATCACATATCGACAATCCGTGATTAATCGATCATTTATAGCGTGGTACATATCCGTACGCTAAATGCCATTTTAGTTATGTGAGTAGAAAAAATTATTTTATGCACGATTGGGTGTAAAAAGTGCCACTTTATCGTTCGGATTCGCGGGGGGAAAGTAGAACTTTAGTGCCCTAGGGCGGTAATGGATCGAGTACAGCGGGCGGTAAAGTGAGTGATCGGGCAGTAAGTAATATCACTGTTTTTCCAGTAATTTCTAGTATACTACTATTCGATCTTTCTTGGCCAGTGGCATACATAATTTGGCCAAATGGATTCAAAATCATGAATAAATTCCATATTGACAGTGAATAAATGTCTAATAAAACGGTTGTGCATAAAATGTTGTATATGTATTTCGGGTGTAACTTGCTTTTATGGACCTAGGCGTATTAATAGCCCTCGCTTCCGCTCAGGCTCTTATACTTACACGCTGCGGTCCATAAATGCCTACTTTACTCCCTTGATACATAAATAACTATTATTTCAATATAGTAGTTCTAGTACTACATAGTCACATTGCATTGAAGGATCGTTGGAAAGTAGATAGAACTTATTAATATATAGGTATACTTACAGTAGAAAGTAAATCCACAAAGTCCGACTGAAAAAACAATTGCCATCAGATGTGTTAAATAATCTGGAATGAAGATGAAGAAAATGTGAGAAAAAATCCTAAACGATGGAATATCAATGAGAAATATAATTCGTAAAATATTTCATATGGTGGTAGTAATAGAAGATAAGTTCCCACTTATACAGGGTTTTCAAACTTGAGTCGGTAATATTGCTAACTTAGTTATTATTGGAGCTACAATGTCAGTTAAATGAATGAACTAGTAGTATTTTTCCGCTTATTACGATGAAAAACACTAATCAAAAATCTAACATGGCGTTCACGAGTTACGTAAAAAAATACAATTCCTTCAAATAGGACACCCAGTATACAATATTCTCAATCGATAGAAAATTTGGTTCTAAACAATAACTGTCTTATGAACTTTTATCCTAAATTCAAAAATATCGAAGCTAACGACGATTCCTTTTTACTTTAGTTAAGACAAAAGTTCAGTATTGAAGAATATGGGACAGTTTTTATTCAGAATGGAATTTCCCATCGATCAAGAATATTGTATACTGGGTGTCCCATTTGAAGAAATTGAACTTTTTGATGTACCTCGTTAACTCGATGCTAGATTTTTGTTTCGTTTTCGTCATCGTAATCAGCGGAAAAAATCATGATTTTCCACCTACCGGAGCCATTGAACGATCCAAAATTCGTAGTTGATTTGAAGTCACTATTTATTCGAGACTGAAGATGAAAAAAATGAAGCCAATCCTGTTAATTCGGAATTAGATGATTAGGTAGAAAGCACGAGGAACAATAATTTGAGGTTAGATTTTCTGTAAAAAATGCCTAATATGATTTTATGAGAAATCGACCAACTTTTATAGGAGCTTTTTTTCATATTTTTAATCGTTAAATCTGCTGGTGAAGTATTACACGCTAATTATGGGTCACCCTGTATATGAGTTGCATATTTGGATGAAAATATTTGAGTTATTGATGATCAAAATTTACCAGAATACCGCATTATCAACCTTCACTTCAAAAGTTGAATATAGTGGGCTTTGAAATAACGTTTATATATTGTTCAAGCTCCATGGAGATGACGAGGTATTGTTTATCATGAATATGAAATCGTTCAATCTCAATACAAAAAAATATGAATAGACATTTTGAATGGAAGATTCGGATATCGGTAAACTTTGATAATCAATAACTCAATTATTCGTCATCCAAATATGCAACTCATAAATATTTCTGAAATCAGACAAAAGGGCTCTATCGACATGTCAGGAAATATATAGGGTGTTCCATTGGAACAAATCGAAGTTAATGATGTTTCCGGAAAAACGAATGACCCTGTATATGAAGCAACTTCACGAAAAGTTTGGGTCGTATCAAACAACTTTTTGAGTCAACATTTTTTCATATCTCTGAAAACAAAAAAGTTGAGGGTGGTTCCATTTTAAGAGGCGCACCCTGTACCTACCTACATATTTCACTATAACATACAGGGTGTTTCGAAATACGACCGAAAACGCTTGACAGGTGATAGCCCTCGTGATTTCATAATTACTGAGAGGGGTTTGCCCATGTCATTTGGTTTGTATCGATCATTTGTCACTATCATATTTAATTTTGTCTTATCATTCTGTCAACGTCTGTTGCTATGCTTATAGAGATCATACACACTGTGTATCCCTATATAACAACGCGGGATCTTGCTGGTACATCCCGCTAAGGTCCTACAAATGTCCCAATGTTTCAGACTTAGGTACGATATCCCAGAGATGTTTCTCTTGGGACATCCATCAGATGTTTTCATTGGATGTTCTAGAAACATCCCATTTGATCTTTTTTTATAAACAATTATCATGGTTCCATATTCGCTAATGATGATTGACATGATTGAATAGTTCAAACAATTGTGACATCTGAAACATTGAAGAGTTGGTAAAAAATGGAAATCAAAACTGTATTCGTACTCATATACTTATACCTATACCAAAGCCGGCTAATTTCATCGATAACAAATTGAAATAATGATGCTAAATATTCCTCAATAGGATTACCAAAGTACCTGTGTAACATCATGAATCATGTAATAAACGACAAAATTGAAATATATCTCTCCAGCATATTTATTGCTGAATTTATTTGTTATACCAGCCGATAGATGGCGGTACAACTACGTTGCTAAGAGTTACTATATAACAGCCGTCGGCCCAGGGCCAACAAATTTTTGAGCCTCAAACAACTGTTATCATCTTCCATTAGTTATTGGACCGCACCGACCTCATATTTTCGGATTCGGATTGCTACTTTATATCTGGAAATAGGTCGTTTCAGGATTTCAGATTGAAAATAATTCATACCGTGTCATCCATTACTGTCTTCAAACAAAAAACATCCTAGAAGTTTCTTTTAAGATGTTCCATAGCAAGTACCCTGAATGTCTCTGGTACATCCCGTATCATCCCACAAACATTCTGATGGGATGTTTATAAGACATCGCAAATGCTGACAAGGGTGTTGCCAGCAACATCCCAAGAATGTCCCAAAGAAAATAGTGATTTTCCAGAGATGTTCCTATCATCCCATATGGATGTTTCTACGACGTCTTACAGATGTTATTGTGTTATTAGGGATAATCTCTGCTATGCTTAACGATTCGCCTTCACCTTTTGGCTTTTGTCTTCCACAAATGGCCATTTGAAGAGGAAACTCGTTCGAGTGAATTAAAGTAGATTTTTTCCCAATTTTGTGCCAATGTTGAACCTGATTATCTTTGGGTTCTTTTGGCTGTTCAATCGGTTCAAAAACTTCAAGTATACCCTTACCGGACTGATTGTTTGGTTAGTCTCCTTTAATTTTTTATTTTTACAATGTGATTTCCACATGGTATGTTTTTTCTTCAACAACTTATTGTTCATCTGTATAAATATCTTCACTTCTGTGTACTTATGTGTCTGAAGATAGCTGTTTGAGCCGAAACTAGTCACAGTACATTTTATTGTGTAATATAATTTTTGTGGTCGACCGACTTGGTGTTATAAACATTTTTTTCATCGGAGTAAACATTTTAAGTGATATTATGATACACCATCATATCAAGGATATCGAGAATTACCGAAAAATGAAATAAAAAAATCCAGGCCCTTATTCAAAAAAATAAAGTTGATGATGGCGGATCGAAGAAGAAACGTCGGATTTCCAATTTGACAATTCCATTTTTTTTATAGGAGGAAAAGTGGCCAACGATAAAGTGATATTCATTTTGGAATATCTTCAAATGAACTGAGCAATTAATAAAAACAATTTTGCTTATTTTCCTTTTTTCCGGATATCTACGGAAATATTTGAAATTTTTTCTATCTCAAATCAGCATTTTGTTGTGCATGAAATGTTGCAACTTTGCCACAATATAACCGACTCTGTATCTCTTAAGGTTACCGAGATCCCCATGCTTAGCCACGAATTTGTAACACTCTGTATACATCAAGCAATGCACTAATAGTAGCGTAAAAAGTAATAAAACATCAACTCCTTAAACTCGCCATACTTTCTTATGACTATATAGATTAATATTAAGTAGACTTGGCAACCCTGTTACAGCTGAAATTCAAATCAAAACGACAAATGACATATTATATCAAAATGGGGTTGGTAATTTCCTAATTTCAAACCGTTGTTCGCTATTTCGAAAAAGTAGTGAAATGATAGTGATTATTGAAGAAGTAGAAATACTGATGTTTATTATTTGAAATATGGTGAACCAGTTCATAAGTGAGTATGACAAAACAAAATATCATTCTTAGATAATTCGAACTTACTACAGCGGCATGTTTGTCTGGATCTCTGCCTCGCAAATCTGTATGGATCGTACCCGGGAAAGAAATCGATCGGATCTATATCCATGTTATACACGTATCCTGTAATTTCTGCAAAGAAAACGAGTCACTATAGTAAATTATATAAGTATTGGTTTTACCTACACTCTTCACATAGAGATATATCGGTTACGAACTATTCTAGTATCACATTGAAATAAAAAGAAATAGGCATTTACTCACCAGAATTATTGCACAGCATCAGTTCAACTATTGTAAAATAACTTCGGAGGGTAATATTTCGTTTCCAGTTTGTAGTTTGGGTCGTTTTCAATATTTGCCTCCAGTTTTGCTCATATTCAAAAAATATGAGATTATGACAGTGACTACTGACACTGACATGACACGCGACAGCTCTTCTACTTCTCTTCCGTTATTTATGCTAGCGGCGTTGTCATATTTCTATTGTTGAACCCAAACTTAGGAATTTTAAACTGACACATGACACGCGACAGTTCTTCTACTTCTCTTCCGTTATTTATGTTAGCGGCGTTGTCAGATCTCTATTGTTGAACCCAAACTTAGGAATTTCAAAAATATTGTAGTTGAACTCTAGACCTCAGTGTTTGAATTTGGAAGTGTGCAGATGCTATACATACAGAACGTATCTTTGAGGTTGCATTATATAAAGGGTGTTTATAATTCGAATGTACGACCTTATTTTTTCACGATTTCACTTCGTGACAACCAGAATCATCACAATCCAGGTAAATACCAATTGTTTTCTCAAATTATCCTTTCTATAGGATTATACAGTGTAATTCATAAAGTTGGCATCATATGTGAAAAACTTTTATTTCCATCCATCCATTCATTCATTCATTTATTTTTTTATTTATTTATTCATTCATTTATTGGATCGAGTAAAATCTACATTTTGTTATTGAATATTAATCACATGTATATATATATAAGTATTTCATATTGTATCTCCTTCATAAAGGATAGTAATCTTTTTGTGAAAGATATGAATTATTTCACGTACAAATTTTTTTTGACAATATAAATACTGAAACTGAAAATAATTAGGTAATCAATTCACACAAAAGTGAGAATGAAATAAAATAAAGAATTTGAGTTGGGCCCAGATTTGCTTCGAAAAAGAAAGAGAAGGTTTCGATACACGTCAAAAGTTGCATTTTTTTTCAAATTGATCGCTGAAAATAGGCTTATTTGTTCGATTTTCAAAAAAGTTCACAAATAAAATTTTAACATGCTATTGAAACTTCCAGTTCTTGATATTTTTTGTTTTCTTATAATAATTGTAACTCCGACAAAACTGTCCTAAACTTTGGTTAGATACGTGAAGTATATTTGATGATATTTTGATAGATGACTTTGGCATCATTTCAGTACTGAAGAAATCAATTCAAATAAATTTCGCTCCAGAATGATTGACGATACATCAACTTCACATCAAACATAGCAGGGTTTTATTATTTTCTGAAGAAATTCATTTTTCTGTCGATAATTTGTGAGCATATTGTAGTGACGTGATGAAAGCTATACCACATGAAATAGTTTTGTCGGTGTTAATTTTTTTGTTATTACACATTTCGTAGAAATCAAAAAAATATAAAAGAATAAAATTTATTATAGAACGTCCAAATTCGAGACGCATATGTGAAATTGGAATAGAAACAACTTTTCTTCGCAAACTTTCTTGAAATTCAAACAAATAAAGCGATTAATTTGATGAAATGTACTTTGACATGTAGAGAAAGTCACGTGACCCCGGTCAAGTAGTCCATTTTTCATATTCTTTTGATGAAACTTGACACTCAAGTCGAATTTTGAGAAGTAAATTATTATTGAAAGTTTTTCCCATTTGTCCCCTTTATGAATGGTTAGCGAAAACTCTGTATCTGTGGATCTGGGTCAAGTTGCTCAGGTTGTTTGAATATTGGAAAATAAAACAAGTTGTTTACAATAATTCTTTATTCACTTAATAACAATATTTCCCCGTTAACAAATTCTTAACCTAAAATAACTATTTTAAACACTGGTAGACACCTTATAAAGACCGACTTCAATCTTATCAAACCAAAATGTTACATGCAACCAATTTTTTTTGTTACCTCCATCCTTGAATCTTCAGCCATACACAGTAAAAAATGAACATTGAAATCACGTGATTTTCGCTAATAATATACAGGGTATTTCAAAATTTAGTATCATGATTTCAGGACTAATTATTTAGGACAAGATAGGACTTCTTCATGGAAAGGAAAACATTTTTTTAACATTTCATCTCTGTTTGACAGGTTACAAAATGTCACTTTTTATAAATCTCTTTTTTCATATGGGCAAAATTGAGAACTTTTTTCCCGGATATATGTATACGTGCACCGTTAATTGCTCTTGTTGTGCCAGTTCCGAAAAATATTTCAATGTGTTGGGAACGTAAATCACTAAACAACCACTGAGTTCGCAGTTTTTTAAAATCAAAACACAGAATAAAATTGACACATATTCGATTACTTCAAAAATACGTTTGAAAAACTAAAAAAATAAGGTTTTTATATACAGGGTGATCCACAGTGGATGGCCTATAAGAAGTATCTGGAGAACGAGAAAAGAGAACATTCTGAAAATTGGGATGCTCTGATAATTGAACATTCTCTATCAGTCTAAAATATTTTCATCGATACAATGTTACCACTTCTATCAGAAACAACTAGCAACTTTGTTATTTCGAATCAAACACCCTGTGTTTTATTGCATTTTTAAATTTTTCCTGAAGAGCTGAGTGTTCAAAATCGAGATTCTTCAATTTTAGTTTTTTTTGTGTCGAAACTATTCATTATCGATCAAAATGGCTCACATGTTCCTATCATAACTTTTGATTCACCATCTACTGGAATTTAATTGGATAAAAATACAGGGTGCTTCAAGATTCAGAATTCTGATCACCCTGTATCTGTTCTAATTGAATTTCAGTAGATACCTACTGAATCGAAAGTTAAGACAGGGACATATATGAGCCGTTTCAATCGATAATGAATAGTTTCGACACAAAAGAATCCTAAAGTCAAAAAATCTCGATTTTGAACACCCTATATCTCTGTAATCAGTCCTACAAGACCCCAACTGTTAAACATTGATGAAATCTGCTCTACAGGAAAAATCTAAAGATGCAATAAAATACAGGGTGCTCCATTTAAAATAACGAAGTCGGTAGTTCTTTCTGATAGAAGTGGCAACACTGTATCGATGAAAATATTTTAGACGGATAGAGAATGTTCAATCATCAAAGCATCCCAATTTTCAGAATGTTCTGTCTTTTCGTCCTCCATCAGATACTTCTAATAGGCCATCCACCGTGGATCACCCTGTATAGCCAAATCAAACAGGAGGAAAAAAGAAAATAATAATATAAGTATGTTGATGAATACACAACATAGAAAATATTAGCAACTCCGTAATCAGTACATTCTATGTTATGTATTCATCACTTATAATCCCCCTAGCTATAGGGAATGAAGTATTGCAAGAAATTTTTTGAGTACATGAAATTTCTTTGAAAATTCATGAACGAGACAAATTTTCCGTAATTAATTCATGCACGTGGGAGATTCGGTAAGAACATTTTATACCGGAATTCTATCTAAAAAGAAAACATTAAGTGAATATTTACTCTCCCTGTTCTCTAGTTTAATAAAATTTATAGTATCAGATACATTATTATATAAAAATACTCGATTTCACATGATTTCCTCACTAGGTTTCCGGAAAATAGAAACATTTTATCATTATATGATAGCTGTTATGTTCCAGAAAATTTCCACTTTACACTGTCCACTCAATTAATTTACTGAAGTTACTGAATTTTGAAAGACTCTTTATATTGCCCTTGTTACGAAAAATTCAGTAGTTATCTGGATAACATACTTAGATGAAACATGAAATTTCCTACAAGATCATTCAAACTTTCATAAAATTATTCCTCTTTTCATAATATCACAAAACTCCAGAATACAATAACAAATCAGAAATCCACCTATTTGTCTGCTAACAATGTGTTCTGAAGAAGGTCAGTTGTCTTTCATTCACAAGATTATTGGAATTTGAAGTAAACAATAATTTTATATGGAGCGACACAAAATTAAAGAGTAGGTGATTTATTTTCAGAGAATTCATTGGATCATTGTTTATTATTATTATTATCATAGTAACTTCTCGAATATTGTGGTACCAAGCCAGCATCTCTATAACCATAGGGTCCAGTATAGTAAGGATTCATACTTCTGGAATACTGATCATAAGGATACTTCGCTAGTTCGCCTGGATTCTCGTAACCGATCTGCTTCAAATTCATCCCACCATCATCACCTTGAAACCACCAGATAAGAAAAATAACAGACCCAGTAACAAGCAGAACAACCAGAGCCGGCAAAAGAAAGTTCTTGAAGAACCTGTTCTGCTTCAAAACGCGCATGAAATACTCAATACCGTCAATCAGCTTCAGCAGAATCAAAGGAACATAACCGATCACGCCAAAATTGTTCAGCATGGTCTGCACGCCATACTGATCAGACTTCATCAGACTAGTAAAAGTGTCACCAAGAAGCTTGCTCAGTACCGTAGGCAAAGCTGCCACTAGTTTGTCAATTATTTTGACGATAATGGAACCTAGTATGTCACCTTTCTTCTGCTGGAACAAATCTTTCACTTCATTCGTCTGGATCTGGTTCTTGCCTGGATACAATTGCCCGTACTGCTCATAAGGTGTGGAGTAATAAGGGCCAGTACCAACTGCCGGTGATTGCTGCATGTTATTACGCTTGGTGTCTGTATAGGTTAGGTACTGGTTATCTGGAAGATAATTTAAAATCACAGTCGTTAGTTTACCAGAAATTTTGGCTCACCTAACTGTGCTTTGAGATTCGAAATCTTCCTTGCCTCAGGGTCTTCATAGTTGCTTCTCTGGCTAGCTTGATCATCTTCCTGAAGATAGCTCTTCAATTCATTGTAAACATCGTCCAAAAGTTTAGCATTTGCAGATGAATTGTCAGGACCAGTGGAACTTTTGGTTACACGGTGATTCTCGTAGAGTTCTTGGGGTTGGTCCATGGTTGCTTCGTGGTTGCCAGGGGGCTGGTTGAAGCTCGAAGGGCGCTGGTTGTAGCTTGAAGGGAGTTGGTTGAAGCTTGACATGGGCAGAGGTCCACTGGACCTTTTGGTCACTCGGTGGTTCTCGTAGGGTTTTTGGGGTTGGTCGATGGTTGCTTCGTGGTTGCCAGAGGGTTGGTTGTAGCTCGATGGGGGCTGGTTGAAGCTTGCAGGGCGCTGGTTGTAGCTTGAAGGGGGTTGATTGAAGCTTGAAATGGGCTGAGGTTGGTTGGAGCTTGGAGGGTACTGACTGAAGCTAGCAGGTTGCTGCTTATAACTTGACAGGGGTTGGTTGTAGCTTGGCAGGGGTTGGTTGTAGGTTGACTGGGGTTGGTTGTAGCTTGGAGGCGGCTGATTGTGATTTGGTTGAGGTGGACTGAAGCTTGAAGGGTGTTGGGTGTAAGTTGGCAGTGGTAGTGGTGTTTCTTGGTTCAAATTGTTGACGATAGCTGGAAAAATAGAGAAAATGGTCATGGGACGGTCTGATCATTGTTTTAAATGGAAAGTGAGTTGGCAAGAGGTATAATATTGTCTATTTACTGACCTAAAATATGTCTGCCTGTCAATGGTGCTGGTTTAGCGAAAATTATCAGACTATGATTTGTTTCAATTCAATATTTGTGTTTTATAACTTTACTCAACTTTCTCGAATGACATCAGCACTTGAATTGACGTTTCTATTACTGACACAAAAATAGGTATGTTGCTTGAACTTTAGCTCCTAGGAACTGAAAAGGATGTACTATACCTTTTCAACTTCAATTTCGGAATCGGTGAGTTATATTTCGGAAAATGTAATCTCGATTTCAGAATTGGTTAGTTCGATTTCAGAAATGGTAAACTCAATTTCAGAGTCGGTGAGATGAATTTCAGAAAAAGTCCATTCAATTTCAGAAATGGTAAGTTGTATTTCAGAATTGGTTGGTTCAATATCATGAAAAAAATCCTTATATTTGTTCGAAATGTTTCCAATTGCATGTGAGATTGACAAACCATATTTAAAATATTCAACTTTTCAAAAACAATTTAATCCACAGATGCCTTCCATCTGAATCGCTGGAAGATAGTGGCGTTGCACATGATTATAAGAATGCAAACACATTTGAGGTGTTATCATTTTCATTGAATGATCTGCACATTCTTCAAGACATCGCAGTCTGAATTCTATCTGGTTGAGCAATCTGTTCGGATCTCCAGCTATGACCCTTTGGCGATGCTCTTGCAAGAAGCTCTTCACTTCTGACTTGAAGGCACCCCATATATTATGTTCAATCTGATTCAACATAGGGCTCTCAAACACCGTTCCATCCACTGTAAACAATCTTCTCTTTTGCAATTAAAAACATTTCAAACATATAAAAGGATTTCATCTTCTGAAATTGAACCTACCAATAATAATTCTGAAATACAACTTACCATTTCTGAAATTGAATGGACTTTTTCTGAAATTCATCTCACCGATTCTGAAATTGAGTTTACCATTTCTGAAATCGAACTAACCAATTCTGAAATCGAGATTACTTTTTCCGAAATATAACTCACCAATTCCGAAATTGAAGTTGAAAAGGTATAGAGGTCATCAAAAATGAGCAACATTGTTACGGTTGATTTTTTGGGTTGGGACGCATACCTGATTTGTTTCCGATTTCGGCAGATTTGGCATTTTATTCCCATGCTGGATATAAATACAATGACAATTTTAATATAAGAGTTATCCTCCCTTGTGGATTATTATAATCAATCAATCAAACTAAAACTATGATAATCATAATTCACCTTTCTCTTAGCACTATGGAAACGATTTGTATCAGTTCAGATGTAGTGACAGAATGAAGAAATTGAATTATTCATAGAATTCATATTTTTTGCCTTACCAGCCAGAGCTTTTCAGGGAAAGTTGACAAACCTACTTGTTCCTTATCATGGTATGATAATAGACGAAGAAAGTATCAGATTCGATATATGGGACGTTTACCAGAAGTGCTAAATATCGATGTATTTCTATACTTATCACTAAACATTTTTTTTTCCACTTGACAAACTATACAGGGTGAGTCATGAGGAACTGTACATGCTCCTACTACGAATAGAGGCACCTGAGCGAAATACCAAATGACCATCAGAAAGTGTCTCCGCCTCTTCTAAAATAACCTATAGGGTGATTTATGGGATATACTCAAAACTTCTTTCAATCATAACTTTCCAACAGTTCTTTCGATTCCTTTCATTTTTTCATGGATTATTATGCTGTCACTCAGCAATCAACTGACGTATTCAGAATCGTAAAAATCCAGGACCGGTCTTGAGAAATTCTGCCAATTTGGTTCATATCAAAAATTTCACCCTGTATAAGGTTTTAGTAAACTGTGATATGGAATTTTCAAAGCTGATGAACAGGCAACCAAAATGAAGTATTTCAAATTTTCCTCACACTTTCATTGAATTTCTTAGATAATGATTAATTTAAATTTAAAAACTTGGGCAACAAATGTATTGATTTGAAAATTAATACTTCGCAATGCATGAATTTCACAAATGAAAGTAAGTATAAAATTATTCCTAATTCTTCAGCTCATCAATAATCAACTTCTATTTCCAGGGTTGGATTCAGTCATTTTTTGGTAGAGGGTGATAATCACCAAAAATTTCACCCTGTATATGATTTCAGTGAACAAGCAACCATAATAAAGCATTCCAAATTGTCCATACTGTTTGAATGAATTTCTTCAAATAGATCAATTATTACCAAACACGAAACTTTAGCAAAAAAAACTGATTAATTTCAAAATAAATACTTCGCAATGCTTCAATTTCACGTATAAAAGCAAGATTTACATCAATTCCAATTCCTAATCTCAATGATAATCAACATTACCATTTTAATTTTCAGGGTTGTATTTCTTTTTTTTTTCGTGGAAAGTAATAATCATCCTGTATGATGGTATAGTAGGTAATGTGATGGACGAATGTTATAGCTTGAATAATTTGAATATTCTGAGGTTTTTAATCGATTTGTAATAGAGTATTTCTGAATATTCCAGATTTCAGTTATAGACCCGTCTGCTGAAAGAAATAGCCTGGAAAATTTTTTATTCGAATTTTTATAATATTGCGGATTTCTAAAAAAAACACTACAAAATATTTTTTCGTCAATGATTTTCAATATTTGCACATACCATTACCGTCTACTAAAAAATTACTGAATCCAACCCTGGATATAGAAGAATGTTGATTTTCAGTGAGCTGAAGAATAGGAAATGATGTTATTCTTGCTTCTATTCGTGAAATTCTAGCGTTGCGAAGTATTCATTTTCAAATTAATACATTTGTTGCCAAAGTTTCGCTTGTAGTGAAAATTGACCGTACTCTAAGAAATTCGTTGAAACTCTGAAGGAAATTCATAACACTTCATTTTGGTTGCCGGTTCATCAACTTTGACAATTCCATGTCACAGGTTTCTAAAACCATATACAGGGTGAAATTTTTGGTGATTATTACCCTCTACCAAAAAATTACTGAATCCAACCCTGGAAATAGAAGAATGTTGATTATTGATGAGCTGAAGAATTGGAAATAATATTATCCTTACTTTTATTTGTGAAATTCATGCATTGCGAAGTATTAATTTTCAAATTAATACATTTGTTGCCCAAGTTTCGCGTGTAGTTTAAATTAATCATTTTCTAAGAAATTCAATGGAAGTGTGAGGAAAATTTGAAATACTTCATTTTGGTTGCCTGTTCATCAACTTTGAAAATTCCATATCACAGTTTACTAAAACCTTATACAGGGTGAAATTTTTGATATGAACCAAATTGGCAGAATTTCTCAAGACCGGTCCTGGATTTTTACGATTCTGAATACGTCAGTTGATTGCTGAGTGACAGCATAATAATCCATGAAAAAATGAAAGGAATCGAAAGAACTGTTGGAAAGTTATGATTGAAAGAAGTTTTGGCCATATCCCATAAATCACCCTATAGATTATTTTAGAAGAGGCGGAGACACTTTCTGATGGTCATTTAGTATTCCCCTCAGGTGCCTCTATTCGTAGTAGGAGCATGTACAGTTCCTCATGACTCACCCTGTATACTTATGTAGGTGTGATTTTCAGAGAGATGACAAAGTGATCTTCATAGTGAGTATTTTCTTATTCTTCAGCAAGGAATTTTCCCTTCATTTACATTATTATACACTCACCGGCAAAAAAATCTGCCCAGAAAAGAATCTAGCCATATTGATCGCCTTGTAGTTTTTTTCTGTCTTCTATGGGGAAGTTTCCAATATTGAGATTCTTATATTTCTGTGAAGTTTGTAATATGTTGTAAATTGTAATTTAATATATACGTATTTTTTCTTTTTTTCGTAAAATCAAATTTCACTTCAGAAAAAAATAAATAAGAAAGGAACTTGGCTCCTCCACCATTTCTATGACGTACTATGTGAACAGCCATATACACACAGAGATAAAATACGATTACCTGCGTCATTACAACGTTGCCGGCTTTTCCAATATGTCTGGATTTCCAGAAATTGTTCTTTGAATAAATTATGACTATAATCATAACATCAATGGTATATAACAGGTTTCTTAATCCTACTTCGTCAGAATTATGAGTAATTTTTATAAATTTCTCATTTGCTTGATGAAGATGATAACTAATGGAGATTGATTATGATATTTTGTAATGGTATCTATAATTTTTAATTTTTTTCATATTACAAAATGACAATCATACCCTGTCAGTCATCTTTTTGCAAATAAATTTATCCCTCAATAAAACGGATCTATTTTCAAAGAAAGTTCCAGATTATATCTTGCAACAGCGCATATTACTTTGAGCCATTCGTGCCCGTCCACACCACACAAAATATTGGCACTTTTCACACTTGAGAGACACTGCCACACCCAAATTCTGTGGTTATGTATGTTTTATGTTTTTGTTTACGAGTTTCACCTGTGTCGATTTTTGTTTTGTTCTCCAGTATTTATTATTATTATCTCTCCAGTTATTTCGTTAAATGATCATCGTTATTTTTCATGATTGATCGTGGATTGTGACTAGCTTGTGGGAGGTTATCGGACGAACCCTTCACAAAATCTGTTAGAACATTCATGATTTTCAGATGAAAATATCCCTGATATCACTACAGGAAGATTTACACAAAATCAATGAACACACAAAAGTAGAATCAGAATACTAAACACAAGTAAGAAAATTCGGAATAAACATCAACCAACAACAAAATATAATAATGAAAATAGAGAATTTCTGAGGTTATGTTTTCCTCTACTTCTATTTTTTTCGTTCGACAGCTATATACACTCGTATCATCTTTCGTACATAACCCTTATCGTTGCTATATTCAGACTACATTCAGAAAATACGTCACAGTTTGCCGCCTCAAAAATTAGAAACTGTTTTATTTTAAAAATAAAATCGACTAGGACTTTATTAATCGCCATTCTGTACAGTATGAACATAATACAAAAGAGTTCTGAACTTATTTTATGAAAATTCATCTGAAGGAAACTTCCCCATTCTGGTGAAAATTTGATCGAATCGAACGTTTCATCATTAGGAATGTGAGCGTGGATTTTTAGTTCCCAAAGAAAGCTAACGGCTTGATCATTATACAGAGAAAAACAAAAGTTACTTTTTCACTTTCAACCTCTCAACGCCCTGTGGGAAAAGTGAGTGATCAAACTAAGCGTTATTATGATTCGGATTGAAGTCCCAGCAAACACTGGGCAGTAACTGTAACAGTACTATATATGAAAGTAATCTTGCAACTAAAATCCGCATGCGATGTACCAAAAACATCGCCTCCCGCTCTCATTTGCAGAGAAATGTCCGCGACATCAAGTACGCATTTCATTAATTGTGTTGTTCAAATTGAGATTTGGAAAAATAGCCCACATACAACATATAGCCGTATAGTCACTGTGGAAGTTTTTGAGACAATAAATGTCTAATTTGTAATCACATTGGGCACATTCATGCGAGGATTCTCTGAGACTTCTCCATTCTATTCCTTTTGATATGATGACTTTCTCGAATAGACTTCGTCGCGATGTCACTCTATGACGATCTTTTCAACTAGAAATTCAACACATTTTGTTGTAATGACGTTGTGGTTGTTTATTATTATCTTGAAATAATTATCACTGCATCTTAGATTTTGTGTTAACAAAGCAAAGTCTCAAAGTAACCACGTTCAGAACAAATATGCGTAATCAAACTGAAAACATATTTTCATTTGCAATTTTTGACTTCGCGAAACTGCCATGTGATGTAACGTGTTTGCTGGGGTGTGATCCCTTCTCGAGACAATGATATTAGATCCACGTCAATATCTCAACATCAATATCATAAGATCGTGCACGTGCACAAAGTAGAAATATCGCATTTTCACACAACATTGTAATAATGGCTGGTGTGAGTGATCTTATAACCGATTCATTACATGAAAGTATCTGGAAGTGCGTAATACAATGGATATATCATCGTGTACTATACAGGGTGGGGCATTAGTGCGTCGGAGCTCGATTGCTCGACATCTATGATAGCTAGAAACCTGATTCAAAAACAAATGTGAATGAGACAACAAGGTCCATAGCTAGAAATTATTGCCGCAAATACAGGGCGCACCAAAAATAATCTAGAGGGTCGGGATCATTTTTTTTAATGGAATGCCCTGTATATTTGCATATTTTTTCAAGCATCCCTGTAACCTTCATCCACTCCTATGATATCGTTGACTATATCTCGTTCATATCAAAGTTATGAATTTTTTGTCGAAATAATGTCATCTGCAGATGCCTACCGAAAATATCACTGTTGTCACAATTATAATATTTGAGAAAAAATAATCTCAATATCATTTATTGAGAAGGTGAGTGACATTTCTGAAAATGTTTCAGGCCCTCAAATGATACAGGGTGGCTGAAAATGATTTTTCAGTTCGGAACTTTTCGAAGTGATTTTTCACGAGTTTTTCAAATGGAACACCCCATATATTTTTATATAACATATTTATCTGAACATCCATATCGATATTCATAACCATTTTTGAATTATTGAACTTTGAAAATTATAGGTCGGCGATTTTGATCGATTCAGATTCTTATCTGTCATTAAAACATCAAAAGTCCAATTATTAATTTAGTGAACCAATTTTTTCAAAGAAAGAATCGATACCAGAATCGAAGCAAACAGAAAAAGTTCATATGCTAGTTATTCACAAAGTAAAAAGAGACAAAATTTGCATTTCTCAAGTATCCCGCATAAATTCATGACACATTAAAAGCAAAACCAGAATAATTGAGAAATGAAATATTTTCCGTCTCTACTTTGTAAATATTTAGCATAATTATGACCTATTCATGTCTGCTTTGGTTCTGACATCGATTCTTTCAATGAAAAATTGGTTTACTAAATTGTTGATTGAACTTTTGATGTTTCAATAACAAATTAGAATGTGTATTGATGAAAATGCCCAGCCTAAAAGTTCAAAAATTCAAAAATGGTTGCGGATATCGATATGGATGTTCGAATATCGAATAATAAATATGTTCGTGTTTCGATTTTAAACCAAATGGTCAAATAATATATGGGGTGTTCCATTTGAAAAACTCGAGGAAAATCACTTCGAAAAGTTCCGAATTGAAAAATCATTTTCAGCCACCCTGTATCATTTGACAGCCTGAAACATTTTCAGAAATGTCACTCATCTCTCAATATTGAGAATATTATTACTCAAAGTTTATAATTGTGACAACAGTGATATTTTCGGTAGGCATCTGCAGATGACATTATTTCGACCAAAAAATTCATAACTTTGATACGAAAGAGATAAAGTCAACGATATTATAGGAGTGGATGAAGATCACAGGGATGCTTGAAAAAATATGCAAATATACTGGGCATTCCGATTAAAAAAATTGATCCCAACCCTCTAGATTATTTTCGGTGCGCCCTGTATATATGGCAATAATTTCTAGTTATGGACCTTGTTATCTCATTTACATTCGTTTTTGAATCAGGTTTCTAGCTATCATAGAACTCGAGCAATCGAGCTCCGACGCACTAATGCCCCACCCTGTATATTAAACTCCAATAAAAGAAGAAGGCGATACAAAACTGATAAGGTACATCTTTGGAATTGTATAGGATGATATCCTGATGATGGGGAAATTTTCAATATCGAGGTTCTTATCCCACTGTGAAGTTTGAAAAAAATATATATATGTATTTTTTCTTCCTTTCGTAATATCAAATTTCACTTCAGAAAAAAATAAATAAAAGAGGAACTCTGGCTCCTCCACCATTCCTTTGACGTACTTTCTGAAAATCCACATTCACACAGAGTTTAAATACGATTTCCTGTGCCAGTACGACGTTGCTGACATCATCAATATGTCTAAATTTCCGGAAATTGTTCTTTGAATTCATAATAATTTTATTATAACAGCAATGGGATATAATAAGTTCTTCAATCCTACTTTGTCAAGTATTATGTCTCATTGGCTGAATGAAGTTGAGAAATGATAAAGATAAATAATGATATTTTGCTATAGTATCTATAATTTTTCACTATCGTTATATTAGCATATGTTATTCATAACTTGTTAGTCATTTTTTGCTAATGGATTTGTTCCTTATTACAACGGATCTATTTTCTAGGAAAGTTGCAGATTATATCTTGCAACAGCTCCTAATACTTCGAGTCCGTCCACACCACTCAAAATACTGAGAGGCATAACAAGAGGAAGAAGTCATGGGTGTCGGCTTCATTCTGTTCTGACCGATATGACAGTAAATCAGGAAGGACAGTATCATTGAATATAGTCGATAGTGATTCATTGATTGATGATATTTTCGTTTAGGATCGAGCTCTATTCGAGGTATTTCAATGCATAAATAACAAAACCATAACCTGTCAGAATGAAGCCAACTACCCTCTGCATTCCTGCTCCGAGTGCATTTGTGGTTATGTATGTTTTTGTTCACCAGTTTTACTTCTTCTATTTTGTTCATTCGTTTTTCATTCGTTAGCTATTCGTTAGCTAATGAAAACGACTTAGACTTAATCGTTCGCCATTCTGTACAGCGTTGACATAAAACTGTTCCGAACTTATTTTATGAAAATTCATCTTAAGGAAACTTCCCCATTATCTACACTCCTATAAGTGTATCAAAGTCCATTACCTTTGAGATCATAGATTTGCTTTTCCAAATTCGTCACTGTCTCCTGGTCTTCTGGGCCCTTGCCGTAGTTGGAATAGCTGAGACCTTCGATGACCTTCTCCAAGGCCTCGATTTGCACCTTCAATTCTTCGACGTCCTTGGTTTGGTAATCCGGGAGAGCGTGCGTCGTTGCTGGTCCCTTATCGCCTTTACCAGAATCCTCCGGGACCTGATAAGGGGCGGGAAAAAACCGGTTTTTCACTGGGTCTTCTGTCTGTCGGTAGCGGTTTTCCCAGAAATCTGGAATTTGTGACATTGAACACTCTGTATATTATTACGATTTTGCTTTCTGAAGTTCATTCTCAGGAATAATATCGGACAGTTTTGAAAAGTCTAGCTTGCATTCTCAGAAATAGTAGTTTACCGCGAAGTTCGAGCAGCAATCGCGTGCAGAAAAGTCACTTTATGCACGTTTTTTCACTAGCGTGCAAAAAAAACCAGAAGTCAACATATAGAATGAATAGTTATTTGTTTTACTTCGCAGATAAGCCCAAGATTTAATGCCAAGGCATTGAATCTGCATTTCTGTCTTGTGAAACATATAATTTTTCCTCCAGATTCGCCCAATTTCATGTAAACTCCAAATAATCTATCATTTTGTGTTCACCCAACGTCAGTGTCAATTTTGATTACCAATTTGATTCGAATTATTACTTGGAACGTTGCATAGCAACACACTTTTTCTGCCTAGGCAGTAAAAGTGCACCTTTTCTGCCTGTTAAGTATCATTAAATAGTAGATTGTTTTATTAGGATCAAAAGTGACACTTTGTTTGACAAGCGAATTTTGCATTTGCGAGGCGGAGCGTTTAGCGAAGCCGAGCGAAAGCAAAATTTGCGAGTCGAACAAAGTCACTTTTGATCCGAATGAAACATGCTATTTTTTCTGCAACCGAAACAATTAACTCAAATAAACATGTGAAGTAACCACCAATGCCGTGCCATATGTATGCAATGCAACAAATATTGACAAATAATCCATGTGGTGAGAATATTCTACCTGCATTAACAGCAGGTTAGGTTTTCAAGGATGTTCGAATTGTAGTTTCAATATAAATACAACCACAGAGTGACATATTTGTGTATGGACCAGGTGCCCTAATGGCAAATGCCGCGCCAGTACCAGCTATAGGAACAAGACGTGGAAAATGTTAGGTTAGTGAGCATATCAACAATGATAATAGTGATTATTAATTCCTCTCCATACTGGCATACTACACTGTGTTTGACTTGATAATCATCTTGAATTTCCAAGCTTTGACGAGAAAAACATAATTTCCCATCCCTCAATCTCCCAGATATCAATTTTGAATGGAATCGGATCGTAATTACAATACTATAGACTGCCATATTGGTTCTGCAATCTTGAATTTTCAAATATTGACGAAATAGTCATAATCTCCGACTTCAAAAATCCCCAGATAACTATTTCGAATGGAGTCGGAATAATTAGAAAATCCTCCATATTGGATCCGTCATCATTGACGAAGGAATCATATTCTTCGACCCCGATAACTCTTCCTAGATACCAAATTTGAATCGAATCAGATCATAATTAAAAAAACTCGTCTGCTATATTGGATCCGCCATCTTGTGTATCCTAATTTTCACGAAAAAGTCATAATCTGCGATCCCGAAAACCTCCATATATCACTCTTGAATAGAATCGGATCATAGCAGTGTTGAATTTGTGCATTTTGGTTGCGCAGAAAACTGAAAGGTCAATGTCTGAAGGGTATCTCCCATGCCAGAAATGAATTTGCGCCTTCGAAGTGCCCTCCTGATGTTAGGTTAGATATTGGACATTTTCATTTCATCATAAAAATAATCCGAAACTAGAGTTTCATGTCTGATTGTTGGATATAAACTGGTGCGTGTGGCATGGAATTATGATTACGCAGTAAACAAAACTTTAATGTCCCCTCTTTTGTTTTTCGAAACGGTCATCTGAAAATCTCGAAACTTGAGATGATGAAATTAATGCATTAATACTATACAGTGTGTCCCACTTACCATGCTCACCATGGGTATCTTTTTAACGGTGAGAGATACGAGGTCGGTTAAATAACACCAAATGTGGAGTTTGTCAAGGCCAACTATAATGTGAAAAAATATTTCGATAAAATCTATTCGTTTTTGTTTTATACGCAAAAAACAGATTTTGAACATTTTCATGTCTCCTCCGTAACTTCTTCATTTATGAAAATATTCAAATAGGAATTTCACATTCTCATGGCAGTTTTTCGAAGTAATTTCGAAAAAAATATTAAATTTATACCAACTCTTCTAGAATTTGAGATATCAGCACCAAATTTAGTTTTTCAAATGTAGGTCATAGCTCACTATGACTTAGTTACAAATAGCTTTTTTTTCTCTTACAGATGATGTGGCGCAGTAATAGTTTTGTGTTGATAACAACGGAGTTATCGTCATTTATACAAAAACAAAAAATTATTTGGAAGCCGCCATCTTGAACTTATAAATTCCAACAAAAAAATCATGATCTCCGACCTCAAAAACCCCCACTTACCAATTTTGAATGGAATCGAACCAAATCTTGTCCGCCATCTTGGAGCAGCCTTTTTTTTTATTTTAACAAAAATTCCATAATGTATTGTCACCGAAATTATGAACACCTGCCGAATTTCAAGTTAATCGGAGTTATGGAATTTTTATTGAAATTTAAAAAAATGGCTGCTCCAAGATGGCGGACAAGATTTGGTCCGATTCCATTCAAAATTGTTAAGTGGGGGTTTTTGAGGTCGGAGATCATGATTTTTAAATGTTTAAAATGTATAAATTCAAGATGGCGGCTTCCAAATAATTTTTTGTTTTTGTATAAATGACGATAACTCCGTTGTTATCAACACAAAACTACTACTGCGACACATCATCTGTAAGAGAAAAAAAAGCTATTTGTAACTAAGTCATAGTGAGCTATGACCTACATTTGAAGAACTAAAGTTGGTGCTGATATCTCAAATTCTAAAAGAGTTGGTATAAATTTCATATTTTTTCGAAATCACTTTGAAAAACTGCCATGAGAATGTGAAATTCCTATTTGAATATTTTCATAAATAAAGAAGTTACGAAGGATACATGGAAATGATCGATCAAAATCTGTTTTTTGCGTATAAAACAAAAACGAATAGATTTTATCAGAATATTTCACATTATAGTTGGCCTTGACAAACTCCACATTTGGTGTCATTTAACCGACCTCGTATCTTTTACCGTTAAAAAGATACCCATGGTGAGCATGGTAAGTGGGACACACTGTATACTGAAGTGAAATTGGCAGATGGAACTTTCAAGATGGCGCCATCTGGGAAAAAAATTGAAAGGGGGGTCTTGTGACACATTCTTTTGAAGCTCCTGACGAATACTTCACAACCCTAGAATATAAAGTCAATATCTTCACCTAGTACAAAAGTACATAAGTTCGAAACTGTATAATTATCTTCCCAAAGACTTAAAAATATTAAGAAATTTCTACCAGTGTAAGAAAACTGTTAAAAAATGGCTGTTGTCAGAAGATCGTTAGGATATTTAACATTCTGATTTCAATTCAATGTTAAATGTTCACAAATACTCGGTTTATATGACACTTACACTTGACATGTTTTCGAATATCGAAAATATTTCAATATTTTTTTATATGTACAGGGTGAAAATTTAAAAACTTCCAATGCGAATATCTCGCGAAAGAAAAAAAATAGGAAAACGCCGTTTGGCAAAAATGCTGGAGAGTTAATGGGAACTAGAACCACCATATTTCGGTCAAGGGATGAGTCACCCCGTCGGCGCGACACACCCCAACTTTGAAATTTCAAAAGGCACTACCTCTTTGTGATGCCTCAAGTAAACAGTTTCAGTCAGTAGTATTCACCAGTACAAGACTTTTTCTACCCACTACAGGGTGTACGAAAAATATAAAGTCGAATAAAATAAAATTAATTGTGTTAAAAGGATATTTTATTTGATCAGATGTTCAAAATGCATTCCATTCTGTTGTGAGTATAATCGATGCTCAAATGCCATTCTAACATCTTGGAACACATCTCTTGGAATATATATCGGCATTCTGCATTTCATTTTATTCGACTTTATGTTTTTCGTTCACCCTGTAGTGGGTGGAAAATAAGTCTTGTACAGGTGAACACTACTGACTGAGACCGTTCATTTGAGGTATCACAAAAGAGGTAGTGCCATTTGACATTTCAAAGATGGAGTGTGTCACGCCGACGGGGTGACTCATCCCTTTACCGAAGTATGGTGGTTCTAGTTCCCCCTAACTCTGTAGCATTTGTGCCAAACGGCGTTTTCCTAACTTTTTTATTTCGCGAGATATTCGCATTGAGAGTTTTCAAATTTAGACCCTCGACTTTATGTTTTTCGAACATCCTGTAGTGGGTGGAAAGAAAGTCTTGTACCTACAGGTGAATACTACTGACTGAGACCGTTCATTTGAGGTATCACAAAAGAGGTAGTGCCATTTGACATTTCAGAGTTGGGGTGTGTCGCGCTGACAGGGTGACTCATCCCTTCACTGAAATATGGTGGTTCTAGTTCTTTCTAACACTTTAGCATTTGTGCCAAGCGGCGTTTTTCTAACTTTTTTATTTCGCGAGATATTCGCATTGAAAGTTTTCAAATTTACACCCTGTATAATCATAAGCACTAAACTAAAACTGAAACCTACCTCTGCCGTAAGGGTTGTTCTCAGGATAGTATCTGGAATCTTCGAATCCGGGCTGCTGTTGGAAGGAATATGGAGTATTTTGTTCAGGGCCGTACTGGCCTCTGTCGTACCCGTGAGCGTTGGGGCCCGGAAAATTGTCGTACTGCCACATGTTCCGGTAATTCCCCGGCCAAAGCGGGTACGGTGGAGGAATGTTTTTCGTATCTGGAAAATAACAGTCAATCAATCAATCAATCAAAATATACTTTATTGTTTGAAGAACGTAATTCTCATTGACAAAGTCATTTCCAAATAAAGAAGATATGATAAATAATCAGGTAAAAAACTGAATAGTATTTATTAATAGTACATGATAGGCAAAAGGTCATTGAATAAAATTTGGTGCAATATTATTACCGTACGGGCCAACAACAACAAACATGAATAAATATAAAATACAAGAACAAAAATAAGTATTGAAATTATCACAATAAAATTGCTCTGTACACATTTATAATACTGATTCAACTACTAAAACGCATTAATAGCAATTTGTGAAAATATAAAATAAACTACAGAATGAATAATAGAATCATCACAATACAAAACTTCTTTGTAATCACTCATTTTTCATACAGTGTCTTCCTTGCAGTTGGCATCATATGGGGAACAACTTTTGATATAATTCATCCCGAAATTTGACTTCTGCGTTGAGTTAGCTTGGAAATAAATGGAAAACAGACCACTCGGTCGGGGTCACGTGACTTTTGCTACATGTAAAAAAACTGTTGAAAATAGGCTTATTTGTTTGAATTTAAAAATGGTTTACGAGAAAAAATATGTTCTGCTCCAATGTCACACATTATACCGGGTGACACAGGAGACATGTAGCAGCCTGAAGTTTATTTATTTGAAGAGATAAAATTTTGAAATTTACAGGGGGTATATAATAAATGGTAGCGCACTTTACGAACTTAACGACAATTTTTTTCAACCACCTGTTTGACCGGAAGTGACCCCAACTTTTTTTTCAAATGTCACCTTGTACATTTCTTCAGTCTATCTGTTTCGCCTTGGAATTCTCTATCCAACCATGTATCACAAAGTGGCATTTATTTCTTAATTCGCTGTTGAATTGCTTTTCATTCAAAAAGAATAAGTTGGCTGTGACATGAATTCGATGATATATCGACACTTGGTAGGCTTTGAAATTCAAATATCATTAGTAAACCGATATAATTCAAAATGTTTTGATATTATGATCAATGTCTGAAGGTTGTCAATAGCTTGTTTGAGTCAAGATGAAAACCTTCGAAAATAACTCATGATATTGAGGAATCTAAGATAGGAACATATTTTATCGTGACATTTTGGGGCAAATCATCTGATTTGTCCTCACTACACGTATATTGAAATAATATTCATATTTTTATATGATAGAAACGAAGAGAGAAAATCCCAAAAAAATTGGAATAATGAATGTACAGGGTGATTCGCCATAAATGTCCCCCCCCCTCTAGCTCAGTTATTTTTGAACCGATTGCAAGATTTCGAATATCATCTTAAATGATTTTCGATGAAGTTTTTTTCCACTACATCAGAAAATACAAGGTGCTCGGAACAAACGATATACAGGGTACTTTTTGATTTTTTTTAATGGAACATCCTATTTTCCATTGTATTTTTAGATTCTTCCAGAAGAGCTGATTTCATCAATGTATCACACTTGGGGTCTAGCGAAAATGATTACAGAGATATAGGGTGTTCAAAATCGAGATTTTTCAACTCTAGGATTTTTCTGTGACGAAACTATTCATCATCGGTCAAAACGGCGTTCATGTCCGTATCTCAACTTTCGATTCACTATCTACTGACATTTAATAATTGGAACAAATACAGGGTGATCAGAATTCTGAATCTTGAATCACATTGTATATTATGTTCCAATTGAATTTCAGTAGAAGGTAAATCGAAAGTTGAGATAGGAACATTGAAGCCGTTTTGACCAATAATGAATAGTTTCGACATACAAAAATCCTAAAGTTGAAAAATCTCGATTTTTAACACCCTATATCTCTGTAATCATTCCCGCTAGACCCCAAGTGTGATACATTGAGAGAAGGAGAGAGGGAGAATTGTTCTAAAAATACAATGAGATACAGGGTGTTCCATTCGAAAAAATCAAGTAGTACTCTGTAGATCGTTTGGTCCGAGCACCCTGTATTTTCTGATGCAACGGGAAAAAACATTCTGAAAAATCATTTTAGATAATTCTTCAAATTTTTAAATCGGTTCAAAAATAAGTGAGCTAGAGGGGGGGGACATTTATGGTGAATTTAATAATTAACTGGAATGTTTTATTTCTTGACATAAATGATAGTACCTTCTGAAAACGGACCCTCCCTCCGCACGCTTGTAGAAAAAAACATTTTTCAAATCGGTCTAGTAGTGTCGGAGCCAATTGCATACAAACAAACGAACAAATCTTTTCTCTTTATGATATCAAAAATATCTCAGATTTATAATTTGGTTTCCTAAAATATGGATTTCAAAACGACCTATACTTACATTGTTCACCTTGTATGAAAATTGGCCTCTTTTAGCGCCATCAATTGGTTCGTATGTCATCAACTTTAGTTCACAAAATTTCATCTCCAATGAAATGTCAAATTTCAAGCAATGACATCAGCTTTGTCTAAATATATGAGCATAGTAAGGAGAGAATCAGATATCTACAAGCCGAGGAAATAAAAAATTTCGCTGTTTTCTGTTACAGCCGTAGAAAAAGTATAGGGTATAACTCGCAAAGAATGCTAATTTCCCATTCTCTCTAAACAATATACTATTTCTAAAACAATCACTTGTCGTTTACCTATTATGTATAAGTGCAACAAGTGATAAAGAAAAATTCATGCCTCAAAAGATTAAGATGCAATTTTCTTGTAATTTCTTACCGATGTTCAATGCTGTCGGTCTTGGCCGAATCATCTGGTCCAGCTTCTTCCTCATATCTACCAGCTGCTGCTGCGTCAATTTGGTACCGGTACTCGCCTGCGGCGCCCCAAAGATATCCTGAAAACTCTCAATTCCCAAGCCACTCGATTGCTCCTTAGGCCTCAGATTCTCTATGGCCCTCTGAAGCTTGCGCAGCTCGTCATTCACATCTGAGTCGTCCTCAGTTTTGCCCTGAGGTTTGCTCAGCAGCTGAACGAGCAGCTGCAGCTTCTTCACTTCGTCTTCGTCACTGGACAGTGTTTTGGGCGCAATAGGTTGTTTCTCTTTGGCTAGAAGCTTAGTGAGCATCTGAAGCTGCTGCTTCATCTTCTCTTCCTTGGAGTTCTTTTCTAGTTCTTCTTGAAGCTCGGCTATCTTGGATTCTAGATCGGGTTTCTTGGGTTTATCCATACCGCGTAGAAGACGTGTTAAGTCCTCCAGGTCACTTGCTCTTCTTTTCTGGGAAGCTACTTGTCTTCTAGGATCATCTATGCTCTCCCTAGCTTCGGGGGTCTTCTGCTGCAGCTGTTTTTGGGCACCTTCGCTCATGTTGTCTTCGAGCTTCAATACTGGCATTGCCTTTGGTAAATGTTGTGGACTACCCACTATCAAAGTCTCGTTTTCAGCTTTGGGTAACTCAGTATTATTTCGGTACATTCTCTCTATTTTACTTTTCAGTAAATCTAGCTCGACTTTTTGGCGATCTAGTTCCATTTCCAGAGCTATCTCCTTTTTTCTGTCCTCTACCACGACGTTCTTCGTCTTGTCTAAAGCCAAAATGGCCGTTCTCAGATCAGACTTGATCTTCTCTAGCTCGCTGTGAGTGGAGTAAGAGGTAGTCTCTCTGTCTTTGTCCATTATGTCTTTGTTTAGATGTTCGAGCACTTTGAGTAGGTCTTTTGGGTTGAAACGTTGTGTGCTTTCGCTGTTTCTTTCTTTTTCTAGCTCGGTTAGGATTTTCTGTTGGTCTTTCAAAATGATTACTAGTTCGTGAAGGTGATTCACTTCTCGTTTCAGGTCTTCTATGTCTTGTCGTTCAAGGAGGCTTTCTTCCAAGGTTTTTTGGTAGCAGTCTTTGTTGTTTGTGACTTCCACTGTGGATTCATGCATGGAGTTTTCTGACAATTCTGTTGGGTCATTGCTTAAAGACCTTTTGGTTCTGGTCTTCCTAGGTTCATTGACCTTTGTTGATGGTTTGGTTTGATTTTCAGCTTTGTTAGTGTTGTGGTGAACAGAAGTAGTAGTAGAATCAATATTATGTTTCTTCTCTTTCACTATTTTGTTGTTATGGGTGTACTCTGTTTCATTTGGGGCACTGTTTTTTGCTGGATGATCTTCTTTCGTGGCATAATCTTCTTCGTTATCATCTTCATAGTCGTATTCCGGATATGAGTCAAAGTCACTTTTTCTCACTACCTCTTTTGCGATATCAAATGTGAAGTTTTCCAAATCAGTGCCGATTTTGTCAACTTCTTTTTTGAATTTCAATAATTTTTTATCGCGTTTAGAGAGTGATTGAACGGAAATTAGAGCGCACATAAAAATTGCGAGGCAAGTTAAAGCCTTCATTTTTAGTTTTCAAACACTGATGATTATAATTTGCATACTGGAAATTGTAGAATATTAACGCTGATGAATCAAAATTCGCAACTAACCACAGTTTTGCAGAGTTCAACGCATTCAGTGACATTATTTTATTACCAAATTGTGTTCTATAAGTGTAATAAGTATGGAATCAGCATTAAAAAGCTGTTGAGAAATTACTTGAGTTCACTGTATACAGGGTGTGAATAAATAAGTTAGGACACTTGTTAATATATATTTTTTTAAATAAAGTAATCACTTTCAAAATTTTTTCGCACTTATTCATTTACACCCTGCATACATGGTGTAACATGACTATGATAATAGTTATCTAAACCAACTAATGTATCAATGAAGGCGATAAATGATTGAGATATTTCCACGTGCGAGCAAGCCGAGCGATATACAAGTTCGTTAGTATACAGGGTAATATTTTGGAAACTTCTCACCCTCAATATCTTCCTTTCAGTAAATTATATGAAAAATCGAGGAAACAGGTAAATTATATTTCTAAAAAGGGATAGCTCAAAGCTTTTGGGATATTTGAATGTGTGAAAAAATGAAACATTATCCAGGTCCGGTATTGAGCAAATAAGTTGACGATGGTTTCTTGATGATAGGAAGTCGTATTTCACATTCGAATACGTCAACATGTAGGGAAGAAGAAGTGTCATATATTTCGATTAAATCATTTCTTCAAATAACTTGATGATATGAACGGTTCAAGGTTTCGGTTTTTTGTATATTATTATCTACGAGAATATTCGGAATTCTTTAAGTTTAAAAACGGCATTTGGTAATGCATAGAATTTTTTTTCATCGCTTAGAGCGCACGAAAGGGAATTCCTATAATGTTCAAAGAACATCGTGCGTTCCTGTACATTAATCAAACTTAATACGAAGTCGACGTTGAAGTAGCATTATACACAGAATATTTTTAACACACTGTATTTCAAAAACATATTACGTTGATGGTCTCAATTCTCGTTGCCCCCCATTTTGATAATCATTTTCCGGAAAGTACGCTTCGTAATTCGATAATTCTAGTTATGTTTTCTCGCTTGCCGTTGACATTCCTTAGATTTATACTCGACAGTCGTGTAATTTTCGAAATAGGGCCACATTTAAATATTCTCGCTGTTGCTGAATGAACTGCAACTACTAATAATGCCATAAATATTCAGGAAGCCGGGTACATGTTTCGTGAGGGTTGAAAAATTTGGGGGCATGGGGTAGGTTGTGGAGGAGGAAGGGGGGCAGTTAGGTCTATATTGCACTCTGCTGCTGATGCAAAGCTTTACCAAAGAGTGTGTGTTAGTTGGTTTGCAGTTCAGTGATCGCTATTTTGTCGAAAATTTCGATCAATTTAAAGCCTGTATTTCGTATCGTTACCATAGCAACTAAACAAATTTCTTGGAATTTTTTTCCTTCTCCTTGGGGGACGGAGCATGAAATTACACTGGAAATTTTTTGACGTTTATAGGTTGAATGACATTTAAATTCAACTTCAGATTATCACGAGTTCATTCTATCAGTTTTCAGAAAGGGAATCCCTATAATGTTCAAAGAACATCGTGCGTTCCTAGGGAGGATAGGGACAGGAGGTAGGTATTGGAATTTTTTTTGAACTTTTGGAGATTATATGTTGTTGGGAATACTTCCACAGGCAATGAATTCCAGAGCCTAGCCGTTCTATGGATGAAGGAGTCTTGATAAAGTGCTGTTCGACATCTTTCGAGGTTGACAACGAAAGGATGTGCTGACTGGGCTTGTCTTGTTCGTCTGATTGGTATTGCTAGTGAAGGGATGATAGCAGAGATTTCCGAAGAACATTTCCCGTGGAAGTATCGATAGAAAAGTGAAAGGTCGCCGACCTTTCTACGGTGTTCCAATGATGTCAAAGAGTGAGTGAGTGTGGCGTCACCCACCAGGCGAATGGCTCTTCTCTGGATGGAATCTAAGAGCATCAGCTTATGTTTTGGTGCTGAACCCCATATGTGGGAACAGTATTCTAGAACAGGCCGTATCTGCGCTTTGTAGATCATGAGAAACTGTTGAGGTGTAAAGTAGCTTTTCACTCAGAACAAGAATCCGAGTTTTTGTGAAGCAGCTTTTGCGATGGATCTGACATGATTATCCCATGAAAGAGTGTTGCTGGTGGAAATACCGAGCATAGATATGGTGGGCTTGGTGGGGATGGTGGAGCCAGACATTACAATATCGGGCATACTGCATGAGTTCCACCTCTCTAGAGAAAATGCAGGCTTGAGTTTTGGTGGCGTTGAATTCAACTAGGTTGTTCGTTCCCCAGGCTGTGATTTTTGCAAGGTCTTCATTGACAGCATTGACCTGCCTGCGCCGTGAGTTCTTAGTTTCCTGGGAAGAAATGGGAATTCTGGAAGAGAACGCAGTATGGAGGGTACTATCATCTGCAAAGCTGTGGATGGGGCAAGTTGTTACTCCCAACAGATCATTGATATGAAGCAGGAATAATGTTGGTGCCAAAATTGATCCTTGTGGAACGCCGGAATTGATGCCAATGGTATCGGACGATACATCGTCCACCACCACGTGAAGCGATCTGCCTGAAAGAAAACTCGATAAGAGATGGCATAGCTGAGGTGGTCAGTCAATAAATATAAGAGTCATTCATCAACAGTTTACCATATGATATTATGTAGGTATACTTGCAATATAATATTTCTGTGTGAATTTTCTTACCGAATTCCACTTCAGCTCCAATTAATATCCGGGAACTTTTTCTCGAACACGAATATTTAGAAAATTCTCTCGAGTCGAAGATGTTCGTGCTCTCGAAAAATTTCCGGAAATAATTGAAGCTCTCGTGAGTGAGTGAATGAAGATCATGGAGAAAGCTTTCAACATCGAGCTCATGAAATACCTGGAACATTCAGGTATCATCAACGATAGGCAATATGGCTTGCGTCCTAAGAGATCAACTGGTGACCTGCTCGCTTACGTCTCACATATATGGCAGCAATCTATTGAAAAATATGGTGAAATCTTAGCCTTGGCACTTGATATCTCCAAAGCATTCGATGGAGTCTGGCACCACGGACTCCTCGCCAAGCTTCCATCTTATGGCTTGCCTCCACAGCTATGTTCTCTGCTAGCTAGTTTTCTCTCAAACAGGTCTCTCCATGTAGTGGTCGACGGAGTTTCTTCTGACTCTCTTATCATAAATGCTGGTGTTCAGCAAGGGTCAATTCTAGCACCAACACTATTTCTACTCCATATCAACGATTTGTTGTACCCTCCATACCGACTTCTCTTCCAGGGCTCAAATACGGGCCAGGCAAATCAGAAACGAACGAGGAAGAAATGCTGACAACATAAATATGGACTTGGCAACAATTCTCGAGTGGGGATCCAATAACTTGGTAGATTTCAATGCAAAAAAAAACACAATCATGCCTTTTCTCTAGAAAACCCGATGTCACTGTGCCAAACATAAGCGACAGGAGTACCCATACCTTTGTAGACATCCATTTCGATGCTTGTTATTACTATCAGCAATAACCTCCCTTAGGAAAATCACGTGAGATCAATTATTGCTGAAAGTGCATCCCAAAAACTTGGTTTTCTATTTCGGGCCAGGAACTATTTCACTTTCAGTTAGCTGCTTATGATCTATAAGGCACAGATCCGACCTGGTCTGGAATACTGTTTCCATATTTGGAGTGCGGCACCCAAACATACCCTGAAACTGTTGGATTCTGTCCAAAAAAGGGCAATTCGTCTCGTGGGTGATGCCTCACTCACGAACTCACTCACTTCTCTGGAACAACGTAGAAAAGTTGGCGATCTGGCTCAACTTTATACATATTTTCATGGACGATGCTCTTCTGAATTATCAACAATTGTACCTCCCTTGGCAGTCCCCGCGAGATTAACCCGTCGAGTTGAGGCTTCGCACCCCTTCGTGGTCACTTTGGAGACCTGCAGACCATCTCTTTCCAAAGATTCGTTCATCCAACGAACAGTGAGGCTCTGGAACACATTGCCAAGGAAGGTGTTCCCCGAGGCATATAACCTCCAAAATTTGAGAAGAACACCAATTCCTACCTTATTTCCCTCGATTTACACGATGAACTCTGAACATTACAGGATAACCCTTTTCGTGGGAACCACAACATAAAATCGAAAGAATATTTTCCTCATACATCGGTAATTCCACTGCAGAGCGAAAATTGCACTGCGAAGAGATTCCATCGCCATAACAACACGTTTATAAAGCCACGTGGCTAGATGCCAGTAAACAATACAAATAAATGTCAGATGGACTTCGAAAAGTGAAAAAAATGTCGCGTTTTGCTGAGTGCTCCATACAATTTATCCAGGAAAGTATAAATGAATGTGAACTCAAAATTACCAAACCCAACTGTAGTGTTTAGATCAAGATTTAGACCGAACATGAGAATTGACAATTGACTCGCAGTCAGTTATGTAAGGAACAGAGAATGAAATAGATGTCTCTTTATTCTAACACGAGGTCTAATTAAAATAAATAAAAATTATTTCAAACAATCCTACACCAACAGACGGAATTCCTTACTTCGTGAAATATTTCAATGAATCACATTCGTGCATAAAAGTGACCAGACAATTTTGCATTCAAGCGTGTTTTCTTATACAAATTGCATTCGTTTATTTTCATATTTTGTAAAGGAGCCCTTCACCTTCGGACTCGTGCTCGTGCTCTTTCGCCAAAATATGAAAATAAACTATTGCAATTTTTAGATAACAGGCTTTCTTGCAAAATTATCGAAAATTTTTATGCACTCGTGCAATTATAGCCGGAAATGTCACACCTAACATTTTCGACCAATTGATGGAAGTCTGTATTCTGTTTCGTTACCATAGCAACTGAACAAATTTCTGGAAATTTTGTCCTCCCTAGGGGAAGGAGCATTGTAGATTGTAGATTGTAGATGGGTCGTATAGGCTGAGAGACCTCTCGATCACTGCGACCTAGAAGATCTATTGTGATTACCCCTATCTAGTTTTGGTCCTCTAACCCTAGACTTCTGATGAAGCCTACGATTTTCCTGACGGTTGACTTTTCCACTTCAGCAGGGGTGAGAAAGACCTGTTCTAGGTGGTTCAGCCT